TAAAGATAAATTTCCTTAAGTATAATAAAAGTTATAAAAAAGTATTTAACTTTTCTTATATTTTTAAATAATTCTTTAGCTATACTTATTATTAAAACCTTTTTTAATATTTATATATTAATTTTATAGCCTTATTACTTAATTTAAAGCTTAAAATAATAATTTATTTTATAAATAAGATTATTTTTAATAATTTTAAGCTAATCCTTTTATATTTAAGTTTAAAAAAATAATATAAGTATAAAAAGATAAATAAATTATTAAAAAACTTAATAAAGATTATATAATTATTAATAAACTTATTAAGTAAAGTATTAAAATATAAAATATATTTTATTATTAATAATAATTTTAATTTTTTAAATCTTAAAACTATTAATTAAGCTTTAAAAATTATATTTTTTAATATATTATATATATAACTTGCTTTAATTATGCCTTAAAGCATTTAATTTATAAAGTATTATATATAAAAAATAATTATTATCGCTTTATACTTATTTTTTAAGGTTATTATTACTTTATAATATTTATATATTATATGTTTTTAAAAGAAAACCTTATAATTTAATTAAAAAATATTTTTAAAAATATAAGCTTAATTATAATAAGGTTATTAAAATAATAAAATTATATTACTTATAAATTAATAATTAAATACTACCTTGAAAATATTAACTTTAAGTAAAAACTTAATATATATTATTTATAATTTAATTTTTTATTTTTTTTTTATTTTTTATTACTTTAAAAAACTTTAAAATAAATTATTATTATTTTTTTAAATATAATAATGATTTTAATTAATATAATAAAACATTAAGCAATAATTTAATAATATAATTAATTAAGTTAATAGTTTAAATTTTATTTAAAGATAATATAAAATAACTTTTTTAAGTATATATTAACTTTTAAGCTTAATTTTAACGTTATTAATTATTTATTACATTGCTTAAGGTAATGCTTATTTTTTTAAATTAATTATTAATTATTAATTAAGTTTCCTTTAATAATAATTATTAAAGAAAACGCCTTTTAACTTTTTAATTTAAGTAAACCCCTTATAATATTAACTTATATGCAATTTTAATTATTATTTTTCTAATTATATTTAAAAGTATTAACTTTCTTTTTAACCTTTATTTTTTTTATAAAAACAATTAAATTTAATAATGAATCTTTTTTAATTTAACTTAAATTTTTAAATATAATATTAAGGGCTTATTTACCTTAATTTTATTTTTTTTAAAAATAAATAAAGCTTAATTTATATTATTATAAATATTTAAGTTTTATATAAAGAAAGTTAATTAATTTATTTTCTTTATTATTTTATTCTTATTATTTAAAGTTAAAATTAATATTATAATTTTATTATTATTTTTTTAACTTTATTAAAGCTTATTTATCTTTAATAATTAATTAATTAAATATAAGCTTATTATATTATATACTTTCTTTTTATTTATTAAAATATAAGTTAATAATATTAATAAGGTAAATATTATTATTATAGTTTTTAATTTAAGTTTAATAATAAAGAATAATAACTTAATTATTTAATTATAATCTTAAAATAATAAGTAATTAATATGTTTAATTAAGTTTATAAATTAAATATATTTAAAAATATTTTATTTTATTTTATAAATTAAGTTTAGTAAACCTTTTTAAAATTAAAAGTTATTAATTTATTTTTTACCTTATTATTTTAAATTTATATTAAAAACTTATTAATATCTTATATTTTAATATTCTTATTATATTTTAATATTTCTATTAATTTTATATTAATTAAAAAAGTTATTAATTTAATATAATATAAATTTATTAAGGATTTATTATTTTTATTTAAGAAATTACTTTTATTATTTAAGAAATTACCTTTATTACTTTTTTAAGCCCTTTTAATTTAAATTAAGCAATTTAAATATAAAAAAGTTTACTTTAATAAACTTTATAATGCTTTAATATTTATTTAATCTTTTAAAATTAATATATTTAAGTTATAATTAATAATTATTTAATTTTTTTATAATTAAGTTTAACTTAATATTATATTATAAATATTATTATTTTTAATAATATAAGCTTAATATATAATTAAAATCCTTTTAATTATAATAAAAATATTAATATAATAATAAATAAAGATTATTAAATTATTAATTAATTTAAAGTATATTTCTTACTTAACCTTTTTTATAATTAAGTTAAAATATTATATTATCTTTAATTTAATTAATTTTCTTAAGGAACTGTTATTTATTATTAATTAATTTATATTAATGCTAATTATCTTACTTTTAATATATTTTAAAGTTAAAGTTTTAATTTTAAGTAAAGATTTATTATAATATATTAACTTTTTAATTATATTTATAACTTTTTTTTTACCTTTTCTTTTAAATTAATATTTTAAATATTTATTAAATTAAGCGCTTAGCTTATATATTATTTAAATTCTTAATAAAAGGAATTAATTTAAAAGTTAAGTTAAACTTAACTTAATTTTTATACCTTATAATAAAGATTTAATATTAAATTTATTATTATTTTATTTATTAATATTTAAAATAAAAATAATTTCCTTAAAGGCCTTTTAATTTAACTTCTTTATTAAGGTTTTTTTAAAAGCTTTTTTAAACTTAATTAAAGTTTTTTAATACTTTTTTATCTTTAAGTTTTTATTTCTTATTAAATATAAAAAACTAAATTATATTATATTTTTTAATATAAATAAAATAATAAATTTATAAGCTTTATATAAATACTTATTATTTTTTAATAAAGCTTTAATTTAAATTTATATAGTTTTAATTATTAATAAATAAACTTTTTTCTTTATTTAAATATATATTTTTTATATATTAAATATATTATTTATTACTTTCTTTAATTTTAAAGAATTTTTTAAAAGTAATAATTTAATAAATATTTTTATAACTTAAGCTTAAGCTTAAGCTATATATTTAAAAGAATATAAATTATTAAAAATAAGCTTTTTAGCCTTAATCTTTATTTTAATTTTATTAATTTAATTAAAGAGTTAATTAAAATAAATATAAATTTAAATATTATATTTTTCCTTATTATAATTATAATATATTTATATAAAACCTTAACTTTTTACTTAAAAATAAAAGGTATTATAATTAATTTATTCTTTTTATATAAAGCTTTAATTTATATAATTAATATAAATTAATAATTATTATATTTAATAATTTTAATTTAAGGAAATATAAATAAGCTTATTTATTAAATTTTATTTTTAATTTATTACTTTAATTTATAATTATTATTTTTATAATATTTATTATTTAACTTATAATTTAATTTTAATTTATAAAAGCTTTATTTATTACCTTATTTTTTAAAAAAAGATTTATCTTAATATTAAATAAAAAGTAATAATTAATAATATATTAATAAATCTTATTAAATATATACTTTTTAATTAAAATATTATTATTTTTTATTTCTTTATTTATATATAATTAAATTATAATTAACTTATAAATCTTTTAATCTTTATTATAAAGTTTGTTATCTTTTTAATTAAAAAAATAAAAAAATAATTAATAAATTAATTCTTAAAATTATTTTTCTTTATATTAATAAAATAACTTAATATTTTAATATATATACTTTAAAATTAATTTTATAAACTTATAAGTAAAGGTATATATTTAAGTTTTAATTTTATAATTTAAGTTAAAAATTTTTATTTAAAAGTGATTCTTAAAAAAGGTAAAAACTTTAAGTTAAGCTTATTTATTTAAAGTAAGTTTTAAGTATTAATTAATTTTAATTATATCTTTTAACTTAAAATAAAAAGCTACCTTTATTTTTTAAATCTTAAGGGCCTTATTATTAAGTATTATTTTTATATTATATAATTTTATATTATTAATATATTTCTTCAAGCTTTTTTTAAAAGTTTTAAAAAGATTTTAATAAAAAAGGAAATTTAATAAAATAATTTAAGGGTTTTATTAAATATAATAAAAGGGTTTTAAATTTAAATAAGTTATTATAATTTAAAATTAAATAATTAAAAAAGAAATTATTTAAGTTTAAGTAATTTTAAAGTTCTTTTTATAATAATAAAGAAATAAGCTTTAAAATAAGGTTTTTAAATTTTAAATTTAAGTTTAATAATAATAATTTAAAATTTAAAATATTAATTTTTATTTATCCCCTTAATAATGTTTTAAACCTTAATAAAGCTTTTTAATATACTTTATGCTCTTTTATTAATATAAGCTGCTTTGCCTTTAATATTAATAAAGTAATAAAATCCTTAAAAAAGTTATAAATTAAGGCATATAATAAGCATAATTAATTTATTAATTTACCCTTAAATTATAATCTTAAAATTTAAATTTATTATTTAAGAGAAAGATATTTACTTAGCTAAGTAAAACTTTATTATCTTAACTTAAAGATATATAAAAATAAAACAAATAAAATAAATAAATTTAAAAAACTTAATAATTTAATTAATATAATAGCATAAAATTAATATAATGTTATTTTTAATAATAAAGACTTTAATTTTATTTATATTTAAAGGCTTAATTAATTTATTTTTATTATATAAGCTATTTAACTTATATTTAGCTTTAATTTTAAGATTTAAATTAAAGGATAAGCTTTTTTAATATAAGTTTTAGCAAAACCTTTATAAAACTCTTTAACTTATATAAGAAAACTTATTGCATTATAAACAATATAAATAAGTTAAGGGATTCAGAGTATATATTGCTTAAATAGGTTTAAGTCTACCTTCAGAGCTAAAAATTGCCTATTTAGGGCCCTTAGGGGCCAAACGCCCCTGCCCGCACTACACAGGACATAACTGCCTTTAACTTGGAAACTAAAGTTCCATGATTCCGCGTTGATGAGGACATGTAAAGCGATAGTCACCGCCATTTAGCTACGACGTGGGCGCAGATTGGTTTTGTAGACGCCCCTATCTCCCAGCAGTCTACTTAATGAGCAACCTGACTCTGCCCTCCAGCTGCCGTTATATCCTCGCTCGAGATCCCCATTGCCCTTCCAGGCTCTGAGAAAAACACGACCCATTTCTTGTTATCCCGAGGAATGAGCTCCACCTCGACATCTGGTTTAGGCAAACGGAAGGAAGCATTGGCTTCCTTGTATCCCGCAGTCCCCCAACCACTGCTGCCCACCGGCTTGACGTCAAATCGTAATAGGATCACGCTGGCGAAGGCCAGAATCTCGGTGGAGGCGAAATGGCGGCCTGGAAAGAGTGTGGCTCCTCCACCAAAGGCGCGAAATGCGACCGGATTGTGTTTCTTGGGTTTCACAAATCGCTTGTAGTAGAACTCGTGCACGTTGACACCCCAAGCAGGCGATGAGCTGTGCTGAACAGTACTCGGGATGAGAACCGTGTTTCCCCTGTATCCGTTATCCTAAGTTACATGTGCTTTAGTGGCTGCTCGGGGCGGCCCGAGGACCACGAGCACTCATAAGCCGTAATTCAGTCTGAGAGGACTTGCTTTTTGAGAAGATACTTTCCGCCAAGCACATGGTCTTCCACAACCGCGCGGGCAGACATGCCTATGCTATGGAACCGAAAGGCTTCTTGCATCGTTGAAGCCAGAACAGGGCATGAACTCTTGATATAAGCGAGATCTAGATGGATCTCCCCGTTCTTCTCGCTCACAGCTTTGGATACTTCTTCACGGCAGTCCCTGAGGGCAACCGGGTCAGAGAGTAAGTGGTAGAGCGTCCAAAATGTTGCTGGCATTGTGTTACTGATGAGCCCAATTGAGCCTCCTGCTTCCATCCTTGCAATGTCTCTCATTGGTATACCAAGCTTGGAAGGGTACTCGTATCTATTGCGTGCATAGACCGATGATGAGCCTTGGTCAAGACCGCCTTCAGGATAATACTTTATAAAGGCTTCAGCCAGAACATCTCGCGATTGAAGACTCTGCCTGGCCAATACTGATGGCATAAGGCCTGTAATCAGTGTGATCAAACCGGCCTCATATTTGCTGCACTGAGTTAGGACGCCTAGACATAAAGTATATTGAGCGACTGATGGCGCTGGGATTGACTTACTAATAAGCGTCCTGGACGGTGGGGTCCTTGAATGGGTTCTTAGATCCGTAAACCGCATTTGTCGTAGCCAACATAATCTCCTGTGAAGCCCATGCGAACAGGTTCATGGTGGTGGTCGTCTTCTTGGCACACAGTGCCTCCATACTCCTGTTGAGGATTTGCACTGCTTTGGCATTTAACTCGTCGAGACTAGGCCCGGGAGTGAGACCCTTGCTGGTCTCAACAGTGATCTGATGCACAAAGCCATGGTTCTCAATAGGGCCCTGACCCATAATCTCAAGAGCCTTTCCGCTAATGCTCATAAAATGCGAAAAGAGCCTGACTATGATGGGAGAAATAGACAGCGTCCGGACCTGACGCTGCAAGACGGGAATGAGAGCTGTGTCATTGATGATATAAAGGCGTGATCCTGGAAGTCGTAACGTATAGACTATTTGTATTCTTTGAGTTCCTCTACTAAGCTGGAACGACAGTGATTGTCCTAATGGGACAAGAGACAATGTAGGTTATAGGCAATTGCAGTCAAATTCGCTATGCAAGGCTTTAGACGGTGACTATTCAATCTGCTTCTGCAGAAGTGGTAACGTATAGATGGGCAGCTTATATTTGTTTCTGATGGAATTGTGTCAGCTTCTTGAGGTGCATGTGTAGAGTCCTTGTACTCTCCAACAGAAAGACCTTACCTCAGACGACTGTGAAAACTCGAGCCTGTTCTGATCATGCCAGCGATTTGACTGAGGAAGGGAAAGGCATCTTCCACTGACGGTGGCTCCCTCACATCTTGAGTAAATCGCAGCAGAGCCCAAAGGAAGACGTAGATGCCAGTGAGACCTGCCACCGCAGCGGCAAGATTGAAACTCATTTCAAAGTTCACAGAGTGTTCCAGTGCAGAGTCAGCACGAGAACTAGATTGTGTGTAATTGCACTGCCAAGAACGGAGCCAGAAAGATGCCGGGGAAACTTGCCAGGTGGGCGAGTGTTGGACGGTGTCCGAAAGAAGTGTGAAGTCAGAACAAGAGAGAAATAATACTTGGTGGCGGGCTGCTGGGTCGCAAATGGTTGGTGACATATTGAGTGGGCACGCAGGTGTTGGCTGGTGGGCAACAAGGGGCCCATTGTCTCCTCGTCCAACCAACACTGACTTAATTGAATGTTGGTTCTGCTATGTCTACGGACCATGTAACGCTATCAATTATAGCGAACCTGTGTGCCTTGCCAAAGCCACGAGCGCGTTGGCGGTATCATTCCGAGGCCAGGATTTGAGACCAAGTTGACCTGAGTGGGTCCGTCCAGCACGGTGTAGCGGCCAACAGCAGCAATTAGTCTAGAGGTAGAGAAATTGTCACGATAGCCTGTGATTGTTGCCTCTAGCATACGGTGGTGGACAGCACTTGTGCCCTGGGTGGCACTATGCCTAATGCCAGATTATTGGGTCACTTTCCTTCTTCTTTGGGAATTATGAACTCGAGTTATTGGACATGGCTGGAAGTAGCAAAGTGGAGCCCGACATGCGTTGGTTTCCCTCAGGGCCACTTTCTCCAAATGGCTAAGAGCTATTCACGATCCGCCGGAGGTAGAGACTTCGATGTTCGATGATAATACCGTGTACCTTTTCTGGGTCTCAAGGCATACAAGAACGTCCCTTTCTTTTCTCCCAATGAGGTCCTATAAACCCGGATTGTTATCAGATCTCCTGCGTACGGAAGGAAGACAGCAATTCAGCCAACCAAGAAACCAAGACGGCATATAACTGTGGCCTCGATAATTTCACAACCAGGCAACAGGCTTCCGTGTGTTGAGCAGAGAGTTGCCAGATACCGGGCCCCTTAACCCGCTCGTGCGCGTCCCCTCTGACGGTACCTGGGCCGCAGCGGAGTCCTGGTGCATGGCCATGGTCGCAGTCATGTAAAACTGACTGGTTTTGAGGCAGGACCAGCAAAACTTTGAAGGCAGCTGGGTAAAGGGGGTGGTAGTCGAGCTTATGTAGACAGTGAGCCTTGCTGATCTCGGGTGAGAAGTGTGAAGTCAGGATGGGTTGCTGAGTAACCCGGTTGGCATGCCACGGCTAGCTAACATGTGGGAGCGTCTGACCACCTGATAGGCCAATTGCACGCCGGCTAGCGCCGCAGAGGCACAGGCAAGAGACAAGCATCGTGCGTTGCCGCGCGTGGGGGCCCTCGGCACCGCAGCGGAGAGGAGCTTCTTAGCTACATACTGTTCCCCATTGCAATGCGACCTCGTCACTTCCACCTTGCATGAATTGTTGTGTCTCGACTCTGCTGTGTTTTGTACTGCTTCGAGTCTTGATATACAGATTGGGTGTGATTCCCGATCAGGACCGTTAGCGAAGAGCGGCGACAAGGAACTGTGCCGCTTAAAGTACAATCGTTATCGACTGCCTCCGATCTCTCTCTCTCTCTCTCTCTCTCGCTCTCCAGCCACTGCGTCACTAATCAGACCACATCGCTTTGGAGTATAATCGTCCTTGCCGAAAGGACCTCCCGCCAAAATGCGTTTCGGCAAGACGCTTCAGTCTTCCTTCTACGAGCCATGGAAGGACAAATACCTCGACTACCCCAAGCTCAAGAGCATGCTTCGTGAAGACGAATACGAGGAGGACGAGTCTTGGACGGAAAACGACGAGACGAGATTCAGCGACGAGATCTTCAACGTCCAGCTGGACAAGGTCACCAGCTTCCACGAGGCAAAGTTCAAGGAGCTCAAGGACCGCGTCGACTCCGCCTTCGAGAAGCTCAAGGAGCTGCCCACTTCCGAGGATGGCCAGCCGCGAAGCGAACTCGCCACCCAGCGCCTCAAGGAGCTCGAGGCCGAGCTGGACGCCATCACGAACGAGGTCAACGAGCTCAAGAGGTACAGCAACATAAACTACACCGGCTTCCTGAAGATAGTCAAGAAGCACGACCGCAAGAGGGGGCTGCGCTACAAGATCCGGCCGTTGATGATGCAGCAGCTGTCGGACCGGCCCTTCAACTCGGAGCAGGCATACGCCCCGTTGATCCACAGGCTGTCGCTGGCATACTTCACCGTTAAGCAGCAGCTAGAGGAGGGCGTCAGCGATGGGGTCATGGCAGAGTTGCAAGACGGCGTGCAGGAGACGCGCAACGGCGAGACATATTCGGCGCACAAGTGTGAGTGACACCCGTACCACCAAGACACAACGTCACCTCTAATCGCTGACCTGCTTTTTGGATAGTCTGGGTACATCCCGATAACCTGCTCGAGGTCAAGACCTTCATTATGCGCCGCTTGCCTAACCTGGTTTACAGCGAGGTCTCGGCAAAGGAGGTCGACGGCAACGAAGACCCTAGCCTGACTTCCCTGTACTTTGACAACTCCAAGTTTGACCTTTATAAGCGCAAAGTTGAGCGCGAGACCGAGGCGTCTTCCTTGCGGCTACGGTGGTATGGGCAGTTGAGCGCCTCGCCCGAGATCTTCCTGGAACAGAAGATCGTCCACGAGGGCGGCAGCAGCGAAGAGCGCAAGTTCACCATCAAGGCAAAGTATGCCAAGCCTTTCATCGATGGCGAGTACAAGATGGAGAAGACCATCGCCAAGATGGAGCGGCAGGGCCAGAGCGAGGAAGAGGTTGCCAAGTTCAAGTCGACGGTGAACGGTATTCAAGAGTTCATCAAGGAGCGCAAGCTGCAGCCTGTAGTACGGGCGAACTATAAGCGCACAGCATTCCAGAAGCCGACAGACGACCGCATCCGCATATCCATTGATACTGACCTGGCATTCGTCCGCGAGGACACCTTGGACTCCAGGCGGCCATGTCGGGACCCCAACGAGTGGCACCGACTTGATATCGACAACAGAAATATTGGGTATCCCTTCAAGGACATCAACCAGAGCGAGGTCTCGAGGTTCCCCCACGCCCTGTTGGAGATCAAGCTGAAGGAAGACGGCCGGCGCAAGCGACCGGAATGGATCGAGGACCTCATCTCATCCCATATGGTCCACCCTGCAGCTCGCTTCTCAAAGTTTGCGCACGGTGTTGCCGTCCTTTTCGACGACTACGTCAACACCCTGCCCTTCTGGCTGAGCGACCTGGACAAGGAGATCCGCAAGGACCCGCAGGCGGCGTTTGAGGAAGAGGAGCAGAAAAAGGCCAGGCGCGCCGCCGACGAGCAGGTCGTAGGCAGCCTGCTCGGCAACAAGATGGGCTCGTTCCAGCCGTCCAAGAGCTCACCTGTCAGCAGGTCGTACCTGGCAGAGCGGATCGCCAGCGAGAGCGGAGCGGGGCCGGCTGGCTCATCCGCGTCCACCGCAGTGGCCGGCCGAGCCCCCCGCGAGAATGGCGACTCCGCGCAGGGCGGGCAGCGGGAGGAGCAGGGCGGGCAGCCACAGCAGCGTGGCTACGGCACCATCATGCCCTCCTTCTCGATCATCACGCGCTACGCCAAGTCGCGACAGCGCAGGCGCGATAACGTCCAGCTGCCCGAGGGCGTCACCGAGCCCGAGACGTGGATCAAGAACGAGGGCCCGCTCAAGGTCGAGCCCAAAGTGTGGCTGGCCAACGAGCGGACTTTCATGAAGTGGCAGCATATCTGCGTGCTGCTGGGCGGCCTGGCCGTCGCGCTGTACACGGCCGCGGGCAAGAACATGCTGGCCCTGGCATTCGGCATCGTCTACCTCGCCATCGCCGCCTTCGCCGGCGGCTGGGGCTGGCTCATGCACCGTACGCGCAGACAGATGATCGTGGACCGCAGCGGGAGGGACTTTGACAATCTCGTCGGGCCCATGGTGGTCAGCTTCGCGCTGGCGGCTGCCCTCGTGCTAAACTTTGTGTTCCAGGTGAGAGCAATCCCAACCCCCAACAAGGCCCTAACTGGTCTTTCTTTTCGCGTAGTATCATGATTGCTAACTCGTGCCCTTTGTTCTAGTACCGCGCTGCTGCTCAGCGGTTTGATGCAGCTGCATCACTTGGAGTGGCTAACTCGACGTTGGCACCGTTGCCTGTCGTGGACGAGCTCCTGCGATGAACAGCTCCTCGGGCCTATGGGCTAAATGGGGATTGTTGTAAGACTGTGATTGGTGTTACGATGCGGTCGCTTGTCGTTACTGTGACGAGGCGTATGCGGGCACGGTAGTGGAGTCCAAAAAATGTATTGTGACAACGGCGCATTAACAGTACGGTAGATAGTAGTCACATTTGCTTCAATTTCTAGCGAACCGGGTATTGCATCACTATCGGTCATCATGTTCCACTTGCTGGTCCTTCCGTTTCACTCCTGCGCGTCAAGGTCTTGTGATATGGAAGCAGCGAGCCTCTCGTCGCTCCCGCACGAGGTTGACCCAACAAATAGGCTGTCCCCTCTGTCCCCTCTCAGCTCCAAAGGGTATGTATGCGCTCTACAGCCGGAGAGAATGAGTGAGTGCGTGCATGACGATGAGAATTGGCCATCAGTTCTCGTCAGGTAAGGAGGCGGGCGAAGTCCTCTAGGGAGACACAGGAGGTGGGACCCGGCCTTTTCTGAGCCGGCCCTGAGACGCAGACGCCCGCCCACCGGAACCGTGTCGCCTTTGCTCTGTGGTGTATGTAATCTCGACTTGAGATACGGTCACGGCTATCAACAGTCTAAAAGCGGCCGCCGGAATGATCCAATAGGATACTCGGACCCTGCACCTGCTCTGCTCCGCATCATTGGGACCGCAGCCTTGTTCACGCGGGCTGTGCTAGTTAGGACGAACACCAGAGACGTCGGTCAGGGACTGGCCAATGGGTGGTCTTGGTGTACCTGATTGGGCAGTGAATCCCAGGCAGGGAACTCCGCCCGGAAAGCCCTGGGCAAGCGACAAGCGAATAGGCGCACGCCAACATAAATATGGGTGCGTGAGTTTCTCTCTATGTAGTCACAAAGATATGCGAGGCATGATCTAGGAGCTTGGCAAGCATGAATTCAGCAAGGACTTTTTATTCATCTATGTCGTCTTCGGACTACGGGCTTCCTTGAGTTAGTCTTCTATCCCGCTCTGTGGTCCGCTTCTCGAAACACACATCATCCGCGGTCTGCACTCATATCCGCAGAATCGTAGCATCATGGTGAATTTCCAAGCGCACTCCCGACGTGCGCATCGGACACAACGCATGTGCGCATAGGGAGCAGTATCTGCCCTCGATTGTGTCTCAGCCCCGGGCTTTTCGTTTTGATATCGCGCAAACTTCCTTTTCGGCCTTTTGCATCCCTTCTACGCGCCGTAACCTGAACTCCAATTCGCGTTGACCGCATGCAGAAATATTGTTGTTCCCGTGGCTGGGACCAGGTGCCAGAATTAGGTGTCGCAACCTTGAGCTTCCAGGAGCCCTGCCCCTGGAGACAGCTCTGGAACATCCAACTGTGGAGGTATAGCAGCCCGAGGTTGATGGACAAGTAGACAAAACAGCGACCATGAACGATCTAGTGAAACTGTGAAAGGGAATTAGAAGAGTTGAGAGGGGTCACAAGCACGGCCAGTGCTGTGACGATCTAGGACGAAACGGAGGCGAGGCGAGCCAAGCGCGTAGCTCTCACCCAGGGGCCATCAACACGTAGGAATTGTTGTCGAGTGCAAAAGCTTCTTTTGCAGGCGGCACTGGTAGTTGAAAGGTCAAAACCAAATGGCCGGGTACGGAGGGGAAATGCTTGTGTTCCTGATGGCGAGTCTCATGGATCCAGAGTCGGCGTGGCTACCGCTTCATTGTCGAACGGTCAAGGGCCTCCCGTAGCTCCGGCCGGTCCTTGAGGGCCTCCTTCGCCTCGATGTATGTCATCCACTTGCGCTCACGCTTCTCCACCTCGGGCCAGTCCCGCTCCTCCTTGACGACCGTAACCTCGTAGAAGCGGTAGAGGGACTTGTGCTTGGTGCTCTTCAAGGATCTCGTCTCAACGATGTCGCCCAAATCATAGTCGATGCGCACCAAGATCCCAGCCTCTTCCCAAGCCTCGCGCTCTGCGGCTTGGGTGCACTCCTCGTCCGTCTCCCAGCCGCCTTTTGGCAAGACCCAGCCCTTGCGCTTGGTCGACTGTATCATCATGACATATCTCTTGTCCGCAGTCAGCGGGACAACGCCAGCGACGAGGCGTTCGCCCTTAGAGTTGTATCCTGGAGCAGATGAGTTGGTCAGTCCGCCAGGAGGGAAGCGGAGAGGCTTCGGCATGTCATGGGCAGATCAGAATAAAAACTCACGTTGCTTGGCACGCCCGGTCCGGGACTCCATGGACCGACTACTCGAGCCGCCTCCTGACATTTTGGCGTGATCCGGTGTCGTGTGTGTGTAGGTTGTGTGTGTGACGTAGGAATCCAGGTGCAAAATCAGAACTTTTGGTTGGTGGGAGGTTGGTGAGAGTGAACGGAACAGCCCAGACAGAGAAGAGAGTCAGGAAGCGATCCCGGGACTCGAAGAACCCAGGCTTGTACGGGGTCGCGATCCGAGTTAGATCTCAAAAAGACCTGGCGTCTTTCAATTGTTTCTGAGCGACATGGTGGAGGACGGTACAGTGAGACGCTGGTTTATCAGACAGTTCCAAGTTCGCGTCAAGAGCTTGCACCAGAGTCAAGTCTAGTTCCTCAATGGGAGCTGGACCTTCCAGTGGGCCCCGTGGCGAAGAGTGAGCCGCGCCCAGGTGGTGTGATGAGTTGACAGCAGGCGACAGACAGACAGCGCGGGTGAATTGAGGGGGCCGCCTGAGGATGCTGTCGGTCGGCGCGCTGAGCTCAAGTGTTGGCGATCGATCTCCTCCGGGGATCGCAGGGGGAGATGATGTGCTGTGGGTTGCAGAGTGAATGCAGCGGTCGTGCTACATTGGCACCAAGGGGGGGGGGTGGTGGTGGTGTTGGAGCGCCTCTCAACAGCAGGTTGCGCGCAGGCCCTGGATCGGCTAGGCGCGTGACTGGCTCAAGACCGTCAAGATGCACAGGGGGCGTAGGGAGCCTTGGGACCAGGCAACGGCAGCAGCGAGAGTGGCAGCGACAGCGACAGATTGAGGCGGACCGGGAGATTAGCCCAGCGCCGGGGCGGCGTGGTTGCTAAGGTTGAAGTAAGGCTGGATCTGGATGGGGGCGGGACAGGGTCAGGGAGGCAGCGGTGGGAGAGGTTTGCTGAGGTGCCTGCAGAAAATGTGACGAGGCAGGATCATGAGAGAGTTGGTCGGGGAGTCTGACAGAAAACTGAACAAGGAGTAGAGCTCTACTGGCGTGGGCCGCCGGGAGAGCACCAACTTGTCGTGTGCCATAGCAGGAGGGATGGAGGGGCGGACGAGAAAAAAAATAAGTCGGCTTCGCTTTATATACGGAGTAGTCCATCTGGCCTGCACCCAAACCTGAGGTACCGGGGCCCCTGGCATGTCACTCAAGTCCACTCATGTCACTCACGCAGATCGGACCACCTTTCTTGACTTCCAGCTCATTAGACCACAAGACTATGCGCCCGAGGGACCAGGAGAAGCTCAAAGCTCAGAGCTCAGCGCTCAGAGATGGGCCTGTCCCCGAGAGAGTGGGGGGAGGCAGAGAGAAGGACAGACAGGCATACATGACAGAGACACACACGCAGAGAGACACACACAGAGAGAGGGAGAGCACACGCGACAGGATGGCATTGGGCATGGGGCATGCACAATAGAGCGGCAGTCAGCTACCGTAGAGGCTAACAGGACGCCCAAGGAAGAGAAGGAGGGACGAAGAGAAGGGGGCGGCCAGGGTTCGTTCCATGGACAGCTCTCCCGAGGCCCGAGACTGAGGTTTGACGTGATGCTGCGCAAGGCACGGGAGCACCAAGGCACGAAGGCACAGAGCTACAGGGCGAAAGCCGTCCAAGGGTACCTATGCGGTACATGGTCAGGCCCTTTTAGCCACGTACCGTCTGTTACCGTGACGCGAGCAGGCCCAGACGAGGCCGGCAGGGTCGGTCATTGCACCTCTCCTAGTGCCTTCCTCTGTCTGGCTTGAGTCCTGGACAGTTCGGGAAGGGGCCAGTCGGCATTGGAGATTCTGCGCGGCAGAGACTGGTAGACTACTCAGCACAGAGATTTGCTGGCTGCTGGCCCAGGAGCAGGCGCAACTGTCTTGTCTGAGCGTGGAGCCGCTTCAAAAAGTCGCCAATGCAATGCAAGGAGCCCTTGGATTGGAATGGTGCAGCCCCCGACAAATGGGCTCCTTTGTACCCGCTACTTTCCAAGGCTGCAGAAGATCTGCTGACTCGTTGTAACTTCACCCCGCGGCCCTAACAGCAGCTGGCGCCGTCCACCTGCGAACTCTCCGTCTCATGGCAGCAACTGCCTGCTGCCCGTTTTGCGACCTTGGTCGGCCGGCCGGGGGACTTCCGTCTCCGTCGTCCGCTCACCCTTTTCTTTTTTTTTCCCCTCTCTTTTTTCGCCCAGCCGTCGCCTCCGTTCAAGTCCTTACTATGTGCTGCCCATCCCCACGTCGCAAGAATGGCTTCATGCCACGCGCGCTCTGGTCGCCCGATCCAGCGCAGATGGCAGCGGCACTCCTACTAGGTGCCAGGTGTTCTAGATGGCCCCGATGGATGGGTAGCTGCTGGCTCGGCGCATCATGGCATGGCATGGGCCGGAAGCGAGGCAGTTTCCGCGACCCCTTCTGCGGCAGGATTTTTGTAACCCGATCATGCACCCAATGAGCCCCCGCTCCGACTCATGCCCACGCGAGATGCTGCTGTTGGACGTGTCCTCTCCGAGGGCGGGAGCTATGACATGCATGCCTGTCGCCTGGAGCCTAGATCATGCTGCTGGTCAAGCTCTGCTGTGGGATGGAGGCACGGCGCTGCCAGTCTGTCTCACTATATGTACCCAGACTAGGTAGCATGTAGCCTCTACTACTAGTACGTGCCTAGCAGCAACCTTGGCACTTGAGATGCAGCTCGAGAGAAGCTGGGACCAAGCACTCTGGCACTGCAAGTAAGTCTACGATGGTGGAACAGGGGACCAAGTGACAAGTGGACTGCGAGCCATGGACGGTGGACAGTGGACGGTGGATGGCGAGCCGTCCCCTCCCTCCCACCGTTTTTGTCTCTGCCAGTACGAGAGCCAGTTTGTGAAACTAGCCCAGGCCCTGGTTTGATGCTTCCTATGATCCGAAAACGAATGGGCCATGCTCGTCAACGTCGAGGCTGCCTGCTCAGTTCGTGACACAATATGGACTGTAACGTCCCGACCTGGACTATATACCTGTACCTACAGCATATCGACCGTCAGATAGACCTCGACCCTCGACCCCAGCCAGCTACCGTGCAGCCTATCAGAGCCCATCCCGAGGATCCCTGGGGCCCCTTCAGCTCTACCTCAGCACTCGAGGCCAGCCCGCCTGGGCGTCGGCGGCAGAGAAGCAGCATTGGCTGCCAGTCACGATCACTAAGGCCCGGCGATTGACACTGCATCGACCTGTCCTGAATCCTGATCCAGCACTCTGTCCAAGTGAGCGTCTATCGCCCGCCCTTGCCGTCAACAACACCCGTCACAGCACAAGTGCTCCCCTCAGGCCTGGCACAGCCTCTTAGTTGCAGTACACTGTTCCATCAACCTCCTTTCAACGACCCAGTCGCCTCGGGAAGACTCGCGACCGCCGCCAACCCAGTCTGGTCTTGACCTCAGCCAGGCAAGCCCATCGCCGCTTCGAACGTCGAGGTCGAGGTCAGCCCAGTCCGCTCAGCTCCCGCCTCCAAGAGTCCATTTTTGAGCACTGGCTCCGATCCAACCGGCGAGGCACCCAGAGGCCCTCCATCGTATCGTCGCGCGTGGTCTCATAGCTTAGAATTCGACGAGACGAGGCCCAAGGTTCCCCAGACCAGGCAGAGAGCGGCAAACCCCTCCCCCTCCCCCCTCCTTCATCCCATCAACCCCCGCGGAAAACGCTGGCTTCCGTCGACGGGTAGGCCCCCCACCCCCTTTTGCAATCCCATACCGTACCGTACCGTACCGTTGGAGCCGCCGAGACAGCGTCGCTTGTTCCAGGCGTCCCGTTGAAAAGTTAAGGACGGCCATGGAAAGCACAAGCCTGCAGACCCCTGACGATGCATTGTCCTACATTGCCCCAGTAGGTGAGTTCGTACCCTATACGTGCAATGTCACCGCATCTCACCCAACCATTCGGACCCGTGTCAGATCTTTGCAACGTCGTTGGCTGCTGTCTTGCTTGTCAGAAATAGGGCAAACCTTACTACTGTTTTCGTGCTGCCTCGCGTGTCGTCTTACTTCACCTCACCTCTCACCACCCAGACTGCCAAATACCAAAGCTGGTACAGAGTACGGCCAGCCCGCTCAATCGCATCTGACTCTGGGTCATGGGTTGAAACATCCCACGTCGGCCCTGCGGTCTAGTCACACCGCCGACTTGATACCCAGATATGCCTGCACACACTCTTGCCCATTCTCTTGGCTTCCTGTGCAGCGGCACAGGGAATGCCAATCCAAGTTGATGCTGCTCTCGAGTGAGAGTTTTCCACTTGCTGTGCCATTTGGTTGTTGTGTCGACTCGCGACTTGCCCTCCAAAAGCAACGCCGGCCTCAACAGTGCCCTGGTGTAACACGTCCCAGGATGTCTGCTCTGACGTGGACTCCTGGGAAACATCCTCCTTCCATAGTGCCGAGGTAGCTCTACCTTGGCCGTCGTGGTTACAACCGTCGACGGTAGGACCTGTGGTAGTGTTCCTGTTTGGCGACGTACTCTGCAAACACCTGGGGTTATCTAACTGCACGTCAACTCGCGATGGGGCTGCTAGGAAGCGCCCGGATGGCGGCTACTTGTGCTCGTTTCCACTAACATGCTGTTGTGATACAGGTTACAGTAACTCCTCAGACTGCGGATACTGCCGAAAGACTCGCAGCGGTCAGTCAGACGTCAAACGTGAATCTCTCCTTGACCCCCATCCACATGAGTGAAAGAGCCTCGCAGGCCCTTGGCGACTCACATGCTGCGATGAAGCACCATACACCTCGGTCGTTACTCCCGTCGGGGCCGCGCTGCTGGCTGGTCTCGAGATGCCCAATCATACCCAGCCTACATCCTCGTGTCAAAGGCGCACTCTATTCTGACGGCTATCTTATGGGCAGGATATTCGTACTATGCGTCGGGATACTCTCTGACCCCTGAATTCTACGAAGCACTCATAAATCGATGCTGGAGGCGCTCAGGAACCCTGCTGTACCGACCAAATCAGAAGAGCGCATGCTGTCCGCATTACACCCTCCGCCTGGACTCGGCTCAGTTCAAACCATCCCGGGACCAGCGTCAAGCAGTGAACCGGTTCAACCGGTTCGTCACCGGAGAGGACTATGTGAAGGAGGCCGCCCGGCGCTATCCTCTCACACGAGAACAGGCCCGCAAGCGCGATACTTGTTTTGACCTGGTCGAGAGGATCCATGAGGCAGAGGCAGACCGCCTGAGGACTCCACCCCAGCCGGCGCATGAACTCAAGGTGACACTGGAGCCAGACACATTCACTGATGAGAAGTTCGCTGTCTTTGATAACTACCAGAGACTGGTGCATGGGGAGCCTCCTTCAAGCATCAGCCAGAGAGGATTCAAGAAGTTCCTCTGCAACTCGCCAGTCAGGAGAGGTATACATACTGATTCCGACGGAAAGAGTCGGCAGGTTGGCTCATTCCATCAATGCTATCGCCTAGACGGCAAGTTGGTGGCGGTTGGGGTTCTCGACCTACTTCCCGAGGCAGTCAGCGCTGTCTATTTTATGTACCATGAGTCCATACATAAGCACCAGCCCGGTAAACTCGGCGCGTTGAGAGAGATCGCCCTGGCAATGGAAGGCGGCTATCGGTACTGGTGGGCTGGCTATTACATTCACAGCTGCCCCAAGATGCGCTACAAAATCGACTATCATCCGCAGTACGTGCTGGATCCGGAGACGTTGACTTGGGACCTGTTGGACCGAGAAGCCCTAGACGTCTTCGACAAAAAGCACTACGTCAGCCTGTCTAGAGACCGGCAAGCTGGTATGGAGGGTAAAGAAAACGACGCCAGCAACAACACGGGCGAGGGCTCTGCCGAAACCACCAATGTTGACGGCGACAGCGAGATGGACTTCAGCGACGAGGACGACGGTGAAGACATCTCGCTCTTCCACAGCGATATGCCTGGCATCGTGACCGTGTCCGATCTCGAGAACAAATTTGACCTGGATCACATCCGTGTCATGTCTGACAACACAGATGGTTTCTTCTTCACTGCCGAGGCCAACATCTGGGACCGCAGCAGCATACGTGAAGTCGGGTCCCTCAAGTCCCGAATCGCGGAATTGGCCGCCGCAATAGGACCTGATCTCCTTCCACAGGTCTGTCTCGATTTCCGACGGAAACGGCAGTAGGGTGTAAATAGGACAAATTTCATCGTGCGTTCACCTCACAGGAAGTGTTCAGGAGGAGGTCTTACACGTGGGGGGAAGAGATGCCAGTGAAAGAAGACGGTGCAACCGAGAGACAACCCCGAGCCGCGTACTCGATGTAGGGGACCCGGAGCTCAGTGCTGTTCTTGGAAATCCACCGAGAACCCATCCGCCACACAGTCCAGCAGAGACATTGCCAAGAGACATTTCTGGCACACTAGGCGATTGTTGATACTCAAGGGACAATTCACTGTAGCATACCAGTATTTTAGAAGACTCTACTGGCTGAGCATTTGAAGTGTATTGGTTCCATCTGTAAGAAGCCCAAGATACCCACACAATCCAAGGATTGTCGCCCCCCCCTTTTCCGACCTCCTGAGCAGGAGCACGTGAGGAGCACACGCTACTAGTGTGACGGGCGACGATGAACAAAATAGCGCCAGTAGCGGACTCGCCTCGGGCCGGTTGATCGATTGCCAAGTGATCGACATAGGAAGATATATCACGCGAGCAGTTGCGGTCTTCAGGTTAGTTGTTGGGTTAGACCGAGGGACTGGAAAGAGATGGACGGGCAAGCAGAGACAGCCGAAGCTACCATCGAAAACAGCGATCTGGTCATGAACAATTGATCTCTCAACAAGTTTGCACAGAGAATATTACATTACGCGTTGGACCGGCCTCGGGGCCAGTATGGGTGGTCTAGTGTCAGTCTTTGAGAGCCCAATTACTCCTTCGATCACCCGGATCGACTCCTTCCCCTCTCGTTCTGCATCCCAGAAGCGGCATCATAGAGCCTCTCTCGCGGCGGGAACCTTTATCGACAGCGCTTCACGAATCTCCTTCCAGACTTCGGCCTGCATCAACCGGGCCTCCTTGCTCGTCAGCACCGGTGCAGATCGGCTGGCGTACTGCGAGTCTGTGAGGTAATATCGCAGGAACTTTCCCTGTATGGCCGAGGGACGTTAGCGAGCACTTCGCAATGGTGGCCTTGTACCAGGGGTCATGGCTGTCACAGCTGGCACCCTCTTGGGGTTTCTGGTAACTTACATGGTCTTTTGGCCCGGCGAGCGCACCAGTGAGGTAGATTCGCGCGCCATAGTCGGGTGATTTCCCAACCAAGTTCATAAAGATCGGCGCGGCTATCCTGGCGACAAACGAGTTCTCCTGCATCGACCGAGAGAGCTCGGTCTTGACGGCGCCGGGGCACACGCTGGTCAAGATGACCTGCGGCCTGGGACGTAGTTGTCAGCAACGGCGACTTTACATGCCAGCGGTAGTGAGAGGCCACACTCACTCGCCATTCTGGTCCAAGGCCATCTTGGAAACCTCCTCAAGCGCGTACATCAGCAGCAGCTTGGAGTAGTTGTACATGGGGCCCGTCAGTCCGGCCTCAAAGTTCTCCTCCTTGGAGTAGTGCGCTAGCACGCCGCCCTCCTTCTCGGCATAGGTGGACCAAGGCTTGATATCGACGGACATGTGCAGGCCTGAGCTGACGAAGACCACACGCGCGGGAGTACTCCTCTGGCCTCGCTGCTGCTTCATCCAAGGGACAAGCAGGAGTGGGAGGAGACTTGTGCTGAGCGCGTTTACCTGGATAATCTCCTCCCTGCACATGATAAATCAGTCACCAGAAACGGGACGGGGGTTGGCCCTGAAGCTGCAAACTTACATGCCCTCCGGACTCCTCCGGAACTGCGAGTTGGTGACGCCCGCATTAAAGACGATCACGTCGGGCCCGCCGCCGGCGCCGAAGCGGCCCTTGACGGCCTCGACGAAGGCCACGCACGAGGCGTAGCTGTTCATGTCCAGCTCCATGATGCTGACCTTGCCCGCCGCGCCCTTCGCAGAGCCGTGCCCGGCGGCGGCGGCGGCGAGGATCTTCTGCCTTGCGCCCTCAGCGCGCGGGGACGAGGCGCTCCTGGCTGTGATGACAACCTCCTCAGCACCGAGGTTGAGGAAGTGTATGGCGGCGGCGAGGCCAAGACCGGCCGTGCCGCCTGTCACGAGGACCTTCTGGCCGGCGAAGGCATTGGCTGCTGGTAGTGGGGTCGGGAAGAATTTCCCGGTGAAGGCCTTTAGGGACATTGTCCTCAGGAAGAGCGGGATGGCGTTGACTCCTGACTTTAAGGGGCTGTGCTTGCTCTTGCTCTTGTTCTGGATGCTGTGCCTGTCAGGACTGGCTGAGGGTTGGGACGGGACTGTAGATGCAGGCGCATGTTCAATTGAGGAGGGCATGATGGGAGTTCATATAGGAGGGATGGACCAGCCTGGCTGGTGTGTATGTACCGTAATATGAGCCATTGTGAGAAGAGACCTGAGTATTGATTGGGCGTTGAAACCAAACGCATGGGAATCCGAAACGCGAGAACTACCCTCCGAGCATCTCATCTCGTCGTCACATGCAACCCACCAAGGGGCCCAATAGCATCACCATCGGCCACTTTTGGCTTTGTATAAGCCACAGTATTCTTAGAAATAGGCTTGGCCGTTGGACAAACTCGTTGCGGTCGGGGCGCGAAGGAACGGGATCCGGATACTTTATTCTTGAGAGCTGGGCAAAAGGTGCCGTCATTCGTCCGGCCTTTGTCAGCACATGGCCGGCCTCCACGAGTGCTAAGCTTTGCTGCGTGCCGCCTAATTGGGTGCTCTGTGTAGCGAGGTACCCAGGTGACGTTCGTTTTAAGGTTCGGGAGAGCTGCCCGAGTGCCTGGATCCACTGCACTTGCTTGCATGCTCTCCTGGTCACCCTAGCAGCCCTGGCAGGCTTGGGCCTATCTAGGCCTGCCCGGCTTTGCCTGCCGCCAAAATTTCAATCCGAAAGCTCAACCGACATCTTGGCTTGTGAAGCGAGTTGCTCACACCCACGCCCAGCTCAAATTTATTTGTTCTTCGCGTCACAGGCCAGGCAGATTGTTCTCTGCTCTCACATATACATCCGTCCCCATCATGGCCTCGACGCAGCACGTCAACCTCTCGCCCGCCGAGCTGGCCTACCTCCACGCCTCGCTCTCGCTGACCCCGCCCCTGCGACCGGACGGACGATCAGCAACGCAGTTCCGCCCCCTCAGCGCCGAGACGGGCATCCTCCCCAGCACGAATGGCAGCGCCCGCATATGCTTCGCCGACGGGACCGAGGCCATCGTCGGCGTCAAGGCAGAGATCGGCAAGACCCAGGCGCGGTATGGCGCCGGCAACACGCTGCTGGAGACAGACCTCATCCACGCCGGCGGGGACGACGACGACACCGACGGCGAGGGCGGCGCGGGCAGGGCCAACATCGAGGGCCAGAGCAGCTGGATCGAGATCGCCGTGGAGATACCGGGTGCCAGGGACGACGACGCGAGCACAATCTACTTGGCCGAGATGTTGAGCGAGGCGCTGCTGGCAGATGGACAATTCGCCAGGAGGCTGTATCTCAACAGGCGCTTCCATTGGAAGCTCTACCTTGATGTCAGTCGCCGGACTACTTGCGGGTTCCCTTCGCGACACAAGTATCTCTGCTGACAACAGTGCGCGCTGCAGATCCTTCTGATATCGCCGCCTCTATCCTACCCCCTGCCCCTCCTCTCCCTCACAACCCATCTCGCACTGCTGGCAACCCGATTACCTCGCCTGATATCCGAAGGCGACGAGGACCCGCTATTCGACGACGACTGGGATTCGTCAAACTACCTGTATCCCCACGACAAAGGAGCCTCTGGCGCACGGCCGCCGGTCACGCTGCTCGTAATGGCAGTCGGCGACAATATCATTTTCGACCCCGCGAAGGAGGAGCTTGCCGTCGCCGACTGCGCGCTGGCAATCTCAGTAGCACATGCAGCCACGCCCAGCGGCGCGGAGGACAAGATGGACGTCGACGGTTCCGATAAGCGCAGCCTACGGTTGTTGTCGATACGCACGATAGACCCCCCTTCACGGTTGACGCCGCCAGGTGTCCCGAGGGCGAACGATGTTGCTGCTGAAGGCGCCGACGGCACGGCGAAACCGCGGGCCGAGCAGCAGACCCAGGAGACGGAGCCGATGGACGGCGTCTGGAAGGCGCCGAGGGGAGGGGCGAAATGGGGAGTTCTGGGCGCCATGATTGCGAAATCATTAGAGCAGGGAGGCGTGGCGGCCGAGGTGCTCGACGGGCTGAAGGCTGTAGAGCTGGGATGAGGTGCCCGGTGGGGGGCAGAGACCAGATGATTAGCTTAGTCTGATCTACGGGACATGCGTTGGTTCATTCTCCATCAGACAAGATGGACGCCCAAGGGCCAGAGTCCCGCCATGCGGATGAGACCTGAGCACTCGCCAAAGGCAAGCCAGGCCGTGCCCCTTCCGCGACGGCCGATGGCATATGTAAAGCCCAAAGATAGGCCTTCGAACAAGCCATGAATGCAGTAGTCCTGACCATAAATATCCTCAGAAGATCCCGAGCCACTTCTCCCTCTTCCCCGGCTCGGCCTGCGGCGACTGCGGGTCCTCCTTGGCCGTCCAATTCCCAAACCCGCCCTCCTTCTCCAGGCCGTGCGCCTTGCGGTACTCGGCGCGCTTGACTACGTCGTCGACGTTCTTCTTGCGCTTCTGGGCGACGATGGCCGAGTTGTGGAGCTGGGTCAGCCGCCAGACGTCGTACGTGGTGTGCAGTGACACGATGGGGTGCTCCCAAAAGTCAGACCTCTCGGGGAGCATGTCGGCGAAGGGCGTGTTGCTCTTGAAGCTCTCGGCGGCCACGAAGATGGCCAGGCTGGCCAAGGTGCCCTGCGAATGGGGTGTATCTGTCAGTGACATGTGCGCCTCTTCATCATGTGGTCCACAGGCCGGTGGTACTGACCAAAGTGATGGACAGATGGAGACCCTGGCTGTTCCAGAACCAATGCGCCCAGGTGCCCTGGGGGGCCATCAGGCCGGGGTATTCTCTCCTCCTCTGGGAGGAAACCTCCTCGCTGGACAAAGATCCGCCATAGTGTTGTTGCTGGGGACGATCCTTCCTAGGTAAACGAGCTCCGTGCGACGGCGGGTTGAACCTCGTTGGTTGTTCTAGGACGATAGGCTCGCCTGGCTCCTTCGCGCCTTTGCTGGACGCGGATGCATATCGCACTATCCGCAGGACAGGGTCTGAAATTTGGCGGCGGTCGTGGATGCCGAGGTTTGCCCGCCGCCAGATGCGCCCGGACTGGGGCAGCAGGAACCTGGGTATGGCGGATGATGAGGAGGCCGCCATTTCAAAACCCGAGTGTGGGTAGTGTGGTCAGTCGGCGGAGGAAAAGGTGGCGACAGGGTAACGGGAGAGTGTGTGACGGAGGCAGCGGAGGCCAAGTCGAGACGTGTGAAAAGAAAGAACCTTGACAAGGCTGGCTGACGTAGCTTGTGCCTCAAGGATGGCAGGTAGACCTAGCCTCTTGTTCGCCTGAAATGAGTTGGGGTAAGTGAATCACGGACTGCAGCCAATTCGGCCGTATGAATCGCAGCGAGTGCTGGGCCGCGGCGCATCAAACAGCCAGTGAATCAATCTCTCGCTCGCTCTGTCCGTCGCTCCCTTTGCTCCGGATTCTTCCTTCCGCCAAATTCTCGCAGGCTCGAAAACTCGACTCTGAGCCTGACCAACCCTGGGCATGTGATTGGCTGCCTCAGCCCCTGACTGGCCCACCTCGGCCCACCCGCTGCCCGAGCGGTCCTGGATGCGTGGCTGTCGCTAGCCTTCCCGGGCTAGCTCAGCAGTCGCCGACTTTCCAAGGTTGAGCCGGGTGACGCTGAGCTCATCGACATTTTTATTAGGACCAAGAAGTTCGGCCAGCACCTGGTTTCGCGTTCCCTGCTAAAATTTCCTCCTTCTCCTTCGTCCCTGACAACAAAGTCACCTCGTTCCTACATCCTACACTGCAGAACCACTCTAGAGTCTTTCACTAGATCTCTTCCAACACACACTCTACCACCACTTGACTCCAAGTCTTTCAGATTGCACACACTCGACAAGATGCCTTTCAAGGACGGTACGTCTACACTGCTGACCACAGACCCTACTCAACGCCATTGAGCCTCGAGACCACGTTCCCGCCCGGAGTGCCTGGGAGTCAGGAACCAGAGCATTCGAGAATAGACCGAGAAGCATCCTCCAAGCCGCTATTCGGGCTCGCGATTCCGCTCGATGGGCTGTCACGCCTGAGGCATTTTCCCGAGTCGCATTCCCTGCGCAACTGCAATCACGCCTCACACGAGGCCGCGGATTGCTCATGGGAGCTTCTCTGGGGATTTTGCAGCGATCGAGAGCCTGCAGGCATTTCGTTGGGCAAAGGAAGCGGCTCGGAAGATCTCGTCACCGGATCGTCATGCTCGCGTCGAGGCTCGACGGCTTTTCCACACCAAGAAACACCACCAGCCGGCTCCAAGACACCGTACTGACAGTCGCACAGGTGATGCTAAGAAGGGTGCTGGTCTGTTCAAGACCCGTTGTGCCCAGTGCCACACCGTCGAGGCCGGCGGCGGTAACAAGATCGGACCCGCCCTGCACGGCCTGTTCGGCCGCCACACCGGCTCCGTCGACGGTTACGCCTACACAGATGCCAACAAGCAGAAGGGCATCGAGTGGAAGGAGGACACTCTGGTACGTCGAGGCGCTCACGCGACGCCTCCTGGGGCGGCGCTCACTTTTGACACGGGCACGACTAACGTGGCCTTCTCCTCATAGTTCGAGTACCTCGAGAACCCCAAGAAGTACATCCCCGGTACCAAGATGGCCTTTGGTGGCCTGAAGAAGGAGAAGGACAGGAACGACCTGATCACGTACGTTTCGGCGACCCGCCAATTCCCCCCTTCGAGACCATGCTAACAGGCCTTGGGCAGTTACCTGCGCCAGTCTACGAAATAGACGGCGACGAATGGGACGGTGTTATGATACGGCAGCTTGTTTTTGCATTACGGCATTAGACAGAAGAAAGACGGACGGGAGACACCTGTATTACTATAGACCTTAGAGGCCTTGCACCCTGGCTGCGCGGCGTCTGTGTGTCTTTCGACTTTCTATAATGACTCTCCTCTTCAAAATTTAGATGATGAATTCCCAAGAGAACAAGCAATGACGCCTGCATTTGATACGCCGTGGCTGTTGTGACTGTTCTGATGTGTTTCCCGGCTACATGCTGAGACTGCTGTGTTCGCAGATCCATACGGTTTGGAAGACATGCATGTGATGGACGTTCGAGTGCCGATCACATGTGGCTATGTAGATAGTGTCCAACGCCTGCCCAACATCGTCTACATAACTTTCTCGAACTGCCTGGGGTCATATCTTCCGTCATTCTTGACACTGGGCTTGACCTCGTTGAGCGCCTTCTCCCAGTCACCCGGCGTGATCTCCGAGTCCGCGCCCGTGTCCTCGCTGATGTCGCCGCCGCCGTGATAGTAGGTCCTCTCCAGACTGGCCTGGGCGGCCGCCTGCATCAGGTTGCCCAGGTCGGCGCCCGAGAAGCCCTTGCAGCGCTCGTCCAGGGCGATGGCGCCCAGACGCTCGTCGGCGGCGCGCCTGTCCTCCTTGGTCGAGATGATGGTGTTCCAGTAGATGGTGCGCAGGATGTCGACCCTCTCGTCGGCCGTGGGCAAGCCCACGAAGACGCTGGTGCCGAGACGCCCCGGCCGCCGGATGGCCGGGTCGATGCAGTCCGGGCGGTTGGTGGCGCCGACGACGTAGATGCCGCTGCGGTCGCCGACGCCGTCCAGCTCCGTCAGCAGCGCGTTGACGACGCGCGAGCTCGCGTCCGAGAGCGAGTCGTCGCGCTTGGGCACCAGGGCGTCCATCTCGTCGAAGAACAGGATGCACGGCGCGCTGCTCTTGGCCCGCGCGAACAGCTGCCGCACCGCCCGCTCCGACTCGCCCACGTACTTGTTGAGCAGCTCCGGGCCCTTGATCGAGATGAAGTTGGCCTTGGACTCGTTCGCCACCGCCTTGGCCACCAGCGTCTTGCCGCAGCCCGGCGGGCCCCAGAGGAGGATCCCCGCCCCTGACTTGATGCCCACGCGGGCAAAGCGCTCCGGGTATTTGATGGGGCCGATGATGGTCATCTCGAGCTTCTTGCGCACCTCGCCCAGCGCTCCGACGTGCTGCCAGGTCGTGTCGGGGATGGCGCTGAAGCCCTCTCGCTTGGCGGCTGGTTGCACGGTCGACACAGCCGCCTTGAAGTCCGCCTGTGTGATGCCCAACGGCCCGCTGTACATGGTGTTGGAAGCTTTCATGATGCGGATTTCCGACTTGGCCGACCGGGTCCCCGCTTCGTCTTGTGCCTTCCAGGATTTCAGGAGCTCTACCATTTCACCGTCTGTCGTGGGGATCTGCTCGACGAATATCTCTGACTGCAGGTCTGTCCGCGCCTGGATGCTCTTGAACACCGCGGCGGATACGACATGCTTCAGATCGGCCCCGACATAGCCGGGCGTCAGCCGTGCGAGCGCCGAAAAGTCCACGTCGCCGCCCAGCGCCAGGTCCCGCGTCATGGTCCGCAGGATCTTCTCCCTCGCCGGCTCGTTGGGCATCCCGATATCGACCTCGACGCCAAACCGCCTCCGCACCACGGGGTCGATGCTCTCGGGCCGGTTGGTGGCAGCAAGAACGACCACGTTGCCGGGCCTGTCGCTGCCCTCGTCCGACCTCCCGGGACGCCCGATCTTGTCCATGCCGTTGCAAATCTCGGCCACGATCCTGCCCTCCATCGCCTTCTGCGCATTGTCCCTCTTGCCCGCGATCGAGTCGAGCTCGTCAAAGAAGACGAGGCTCGGCGCGAGGCGCATCGCCTCGTCGAAGATGTCGCGGATGTTCTTCTCGCTCTCGCCGCTGGTGCCGCCGACGAGGCTTGGCGCAGACACGGGGATGAAGGCGACCTCGAGGTCGGCGGCCAGCGCGTGCGCGAGCGTCGTCTTGCCGCAGCCCGAGGGCCCGTGGAGCAGCACGCCGTCGCTGGGCCGGTACCCCAGCTCGGCGAGGTCGTCCCCGCGCAGGAGCGGGATCCACACGGGGCCCTTGAGCCTGTCGATGACGCCGTCGACGCCCGCCAGGTCGTCGAGGCTGATGTCCTGGGGCGGCGAGCGGTCGACCTCCTTGGGATCCCTGCGCCTCCGCTTCGGCTTGGCCTCGCCGTTTGCCTGGCGGTCTACTGTGGGCGTGTCCGCGTCCATGGCCTCCGCGCCGCCCGGCGTCCGCCTCCCCGTGGATGAGGCGGCCGAGCCTGTCGCCTTGGCCTCCGAGCCCTTGAAGTTCCAGTGCTTCGTGAGCTGCCTGTTCAGCAGCCCCGCATCTTTCTCCTCCCTCGAGCGTTTGGCACGGCTCTCCTGTGCCTGGATCTCCCGCTCGAGCTCCTCATCCGAGTCCTTGTCGACCTTGGATTCCTCCCGCCGCACATCGATGACCCTCTCAATCGAGTCCTCTAAAATGCGTTTCTTTTGCCTCTTCAGGCTCGAGTTGGACCGCTGGATAAACTCGTACACACCACTGATCGTTAATTTGGAGCCATTCGAATCGTCTTCGTACTTTCGTACGATTTGGTAGACATCACGGTCCAGGCCCTGCCGTAAGCTTATCGGCATGTTGGGGGGGGGGGGGGTGGGTTGTCACCGTCGCATACTTTTGTGGTGGATGTTGAGAAATGCGAGTGAGTTGAGAGTTTATAGTGGGGCCTGAAAATTTTAGACCGAGATGGCAAGTGCAAGTGGTGTAAGCCACAGCAGCCAGTCAGGACGTCCTAACATGGCGAACATCGGGAAATTTTCCATCTGATAATCACCACTTGCCGCTTTGCTGAACCGTATGGGCTTGCGTTTTGTTTAAATGAGTGTAATCAAAATTCCAGTCTAACATTGTGCCAAATCCGGCCTGGTGAAAACGCAGGCCTTGCCCTCGTGGAACGGCACTTCAATGAGCACTTGGAGACTCATACGTACTGTACCATTTGCAACCCTTCTATGTCAGTCTAGGCATCTATCCTGGAGCCATTCCACACCGGGGTATGCGCCGTGAGCCATATCGACCACTGAAGAAATTAGAAAGCCGTAGTCCCGAAAGAAACACTAGACAAAAAAACGCCACGCTTCCTCCCTTCAAAACAATGTTCCCTGTTTGGGATGTTCTGCCATGAACACTTCCACGCGTATGACATGATTTGCACGCTGCCATCACCGTCGCTGCTGCCGTTCAACACCTGTTTCGTCAATATTGTGAGGCCTCGTCCCAGTTCTGCCTTCTACCTCGCCCACCAAATAGCTGCGCAGCCTCCATGCAATAGCCACCACCGCCACTCGCCATCTTCGTCTCGCTACCATAGCATATTACCACCGCGTCTACGATGGAGCTTAATATGCCCTCCATAGCACCTAGTATACCCCAGCCAATGAAGCTGGCCACAAGACCGACCACGTAGGCATATGCGCTGCCCTTGAATCCGGGGTTACCATCGGGAACGGAGATCGATAGCTGCCTCGCAGTCATCACCCACCCCGCGAAGCCCAGAGCCGTGGCCATGATGAACTTGGTCGCCTGCAGGAGGAGCTTCGCCAGGCGGTAGGGGAGTAGCGGAGCGGTACCTCGTTGCCGGAACGCGCGCGGCGTCAGGGTCGTTGTTGGCGCTTGTGGGCCGAGGAAGTCCATCTGGCTCAGGCCGCGGGCCGAGTCCACGAGAGGCTGGGAGTGGATGGCTGCGTATGTGAGCGTGAGTGGGTTCGTCATGGCCATGATGGACGTGGGAATCAAGGTATAGAAGAAAGCGGCGATGATGCTGGCGATACGCCGGTGGAGAACAAGCAGGGGCATCCGGACCACCAACGCCAACAGCGTGGACAGCGAGATGGTCCCGAATATGGTGGTCATGGAGTGGTTCAAGGCAGCCGCCACGATTTCGCGAGACGCCACGGCTGGTACTGCGTTGCGATGAAAGTACCATTGTGAGACTGTCGCCGCAGTTGTCCCTCGCTGGACGCCCGAGATCATGGACAGCGTCCATAGGTACATCAAGAGGAAATATGTACCTAACCACCAGCTTGATGCTTGCAGGACGAACTTGGACACAGCGCCCGAGTAGGAGCCACCGAGGAAAACCCTGGTGAACATAGCCAGCCAAACCCATGTCCAACATACAATCAGGGCGAGGGTGCCCATCCCGACAAGCACCAGGGCGCTGTTTGCGGCCAGAATCCGGCTGGAGAATTCGAGAATCGCGATGGCCGAGCCCAGTGCATGACGTCCCTTCCACACCATGTAGACCCATACGACCGCGAAGACGCCGGGGACAGTTGAAGCCCATCGCATGACAACATCCTGGATAGTCGAGCCGTGCTTTTCGCCCTGGAAGCTCGATACAAACGGATATATCGAAAAGGAGAGCATGACGATCGGAACGGCAACCAAAATCAGGCCAACCAAGGGCCTGACGAAGTACCGCAGAGCGGCAAGCCACATGAAGGAGACGATCATCGCCACCAAGGTGTCCACGGCCAAAAGGTGGAAAGAAGATCGCAGAACGGTGTATATCGTATCACCCAGGGGTTTCTTCCCACTAGGCGCGGAAGTGTGCAGCCACACTAGGATGAAGGTGGCCAGCATCGAGGCGAGGGCGAGGAGATAGACCCAGGCGAAGAAAGCGTCATGCTTGAAGAGTTCGCCCTCTGGCGCTGCCGGTGCAACGTCCGGTCGGTCATCGTATGGAGAGCTCCCTAGCTCCGATTCCATTGTGGAATCTCGCCGTATTGGCACGCGAGCCGTCGCGTTGAAGCCCTTCAGCCTCTGGAAAGCAGGGGCATCGTCGCTGGACTGCTCCATGGTCAGGTCAGCTGGTGGCTCGCTGTCTGCTATTGTCGATTCCAGACCAACATCCTCCATCCTTCCTTTAGCGGACGAGTTGCTGCTGTTATTGGAGACCACTCTCTCGAGATTGCCCTCGTGACCACCTCGCCCCTTAGCGGCGCGGGCAAAACTGCTTCTGGGCCCGTTCCAACTGCTCTTTATACCCCTGGTTTGTCCACGTTCCAAAAAGGCCCTGCTGTCTTGCTGCTCCTCGCTGTGCTCGAGTGATGCCGGGCCTCCCTCGTCCTCCGGCTCGGTACTTTCTTCCAGCCGGCTTGCCTGGAAGACCCGACGAGACCTTTGCAGAGCGTAGAGGTCCGCAGCCTCTCTATCCCTTTCATCCTCATCTTCCTCTTCGCGCAGTTCGTCCCTAGTGCTATGAAAAAGGGGTGCATCTTGAGGGGTCGCGAGTCTGGACGCGAAGCTGAGGTGACCGAAACGAGAGGCGGCGGGCTGATAAGGGTTTGTGCCACGGCCGAGGAAAGACCTATTTCCATGCGCATTCCTTGATGTCCGATGTTGCCACTCGCCTGGCTGGCTGCTTGGTGGTGTGTCGGCGTTGTCAGGCTGGCCTTGGAAGTTGGAAAGGCGGGACTGCGACTGAGCCAGGAACCTCGAAGCGTCTGGGCCGGATTAGCTGAGCACGAGGGACAAAACACAGAGCGCAGAACACGTTAGACAGCACGCGCACGCACGCACACATGAAGCACATGTGAGCATGACAAGGACCTTACATTCTGAGAACATGGCTGAGGTTCCTCAGCTTTTCGGCTGCTGGGCGAGCCTCGAATCAACGGGTGGCGGTCAGTCAGGCCGGGCGGGCGAGCGAGACCGGTGGTGCCTGGCAGAAGCGGTCGGCGGAATGACGTGTGAGGATACAACTGGAATGAATGAGAACGGCCGGATCGCCTTTGGGGACGATCTGGGGCGGGAACGTAGATGAGATATGCAGAAGAAGAGATGCGGTCTGACTTGTCAGGGCAGAGGCAGAGGTAAAGGCCAAGGCATTGTAGTACCTGACCAGGTGGGAGAGAGGCCCAGAGCCGAGGCGGGATGACTAGGCGTGAGCGAGCACGTACACTTGAGGGTCTAATGCCTAATGCAGGGATTCATGTCGTCCCGCTCCTCTGCTTTGACCTGGTCGCGGCCGGGCAGGCAGTCACGGGTGCGAAGTCACAGGCAGCTATCCTGTCATCACACATGCTTGCAGTACTCCTCATGCCTCCCGTATCCAGCCACTCACTCTCTCCCGGCGAAGTTCCTTGGTGGCGCCCCTCTTCCCCTTATGCCTTCCCCCACGGGCTGCAGATAAGCGGTAGATGGCGATAGCGCCCGCCCCTGTCTCCTGCCCGGGGATTTGCGCCTTGTACCTAGGTATCCAGATAGCCTAGTCATCAGGTGGCTGCTCCACCCCAGCGTGACATCGATCCCGGAGCTCATACATAGACTAAGCACCCGGGTGGATCAGCGGTCCAACGTCACTCGTGATGCTCATATTCCTGCCATATGTTCCGTTCTCCCTCTTTGCAGCTCACCCTGCCTCGTCCTTCCTCCTCAACCCGCTAAACCCGTGATACATCACTCTGTCCCACGCTGTGCTCTCGTGCGACCTGTTCCTGCTTTCTGTCTAGTCGAACTTTGCCCAACAAACCGTCTATCTAGCCGCCTACACCCAAAAAAAGATCGCCACCTTACCCTATCAGATCGAACGGTCCGCTCGCTCGGCACCTTTGACGACTCCGGTCTCGAGACAACCAAAACTCTCAACCCCCCGCCCTCTTGACCGTCGTCCCGTGCATACATCCACACATCAGATACCCGACGCCGTCCACATGTCCTCACCACCGTGGGATTATATCGCCAAGCTGGTCTGCATAGGAGACAGCGGCTGCGGCAAGTCGTCCCTGACCATCCGCCTCTGCGAGGGCCGCTTCGTGCAACACCACGATGTCACCATCGGAGTAGAATTCGGCTCCAGGATAGTACCAGTCGGCGCTCCCGCCAACAAGGCAATAGCCGCCTCCCACACAGACGCCTCCCCGCCGTCCACATCCAGCCCCGACGCCTCCTCGAAACCAGACAAGCCAAACGGCCTGCCCGACCCGCCCCGCGCCGCCCCCAAGGACGCGCAGCAGCAGCCCCAGAAGCACATGAAGCTGTCCCTCTGGGATACGGCGGGTCAGGAGACGTACAAGTCGGTGACGCGCTCCTACTTCCGCGGCGCGAGCGGCGCCCTCCTCGTCTTCGACATCTCGCGCAAGTCGACCTTCTCGCACGTCACCGACTGGCTCAACGACCTGCGTCAGATCGCCGAGCCCGATATCGTCGTCATCCTCGTCGGGAACAAGGCCGACCTCGCCGGCGAGAGGCGTGAGGTCAGCGCCGAGGAGGCAACTGCTTGGGCCCGCCAAAACGGCGTCCTGCGCTACGTTGAGACGAGCGCAAAGACGGGCGAGTACGTCGAGGAGGCCTTCCTCGGCGTCGCGGAGAGGATATACCAGAACATCCAGGCCGGAAAGTACGACCTCAACGACAGGCGGTCCGGCGTCAAGGGGCAGGGCGCCGGGTGGGGCGGGGGCTCTGGCGTCAAAGTTGACGCGAGGAAGAGTTCGAATGGTGGTATGTGTTGTTGAGACGCAAATACAAGGGGCTCGGGCGACGGAAAAGCGGGCGCAACGCAGATGGTTTCGCGGGCGTCTCCCATGGAACAAGGAAAAAAAGTTCGAGGCCTCGTCAGGTTGATAACACCCGACTGGAACAAATCTTATGGCAGTACTACGACTCCAATGTACAGCACGTAATGCATAATCAGCAAGCTGGGCTGACACACGGCATCAGGCATAGATAAATTGAGCATCGCATGACATAGCAACCAGAAACGAGATGTGGTATTACTTCTTGAGGTGGGGGAAATCCCTTCTCTTCCAAATGTCCTAATCTATCAGGCATCCTTGCCAAATGACCAAACATCGAAAACTCCGTCCCGACAAATAGGCCATCTACAGCAACGTGAACCAACCGTCAGATTTCGGCACAACCCTCGAGATAGTCCGAAGTGACTCCTAGCTTCAGGCTGTAGTGTCAAATGCTTTGGTGTGGCCAAGACAGCCACCCAATCGACTCTTCGGTTGCGGCGGGTTGCTCAGTCCGTCACCCTCCAGGTGTCGAACCACTTCATGTAGGAGTAGTCCTTGTTTGGTCCAGTCATGCCCCAGCAGATTGGCATAAAGTAGACGTAGAGACCAATGGTGACAGCGTAAAACCCGCCATAGACGACAGCCTGGAGGATCTGGTTCCGGTTCCGCAGGCACCAATCCACCAAGAAGCCCGTTGTCAGGATGGCGAAGTATAGAGCAGGGTAATAATGGTGGACATAAGTGACCCGAGCCATGATGACGAATGGCAGGTAGTGCAGGAACCAACCCGCGAGTGGGTAGAGGCCGGCATAGTGTATCTGATCGATGTCGGACTGTGACAGCTCCTTGATACCGCGCTGCCATCGGACAAGGTACCACAGAACTACCGCGCCAATGAGGCCCATGGAAAGTGTCGAGCCCCAGTAAACGAAGGGGTTGCCCAGAAGGAAGTACTTCACAATGTGGTCGTCCCAGCCACACATGCGCAAGCCAACATTCTAAGTCTCACATCAGCACATAGAGGTCTCAAGATACACAGAGGACGCCCTAAAATGAGGCAACACCCAACTTACCAGAATAGGCCACTGCCACCACTGGGAGGCCAGGTCATCCTGCTTGTCTGGATCAGGGACCAGTGCGTTGTTGGATGTCATCATCGCAACGTTTAGATGAATGAAGTCGTGGATGAAGGGCGACTTGTACTGGCCAGGTTCTGCAGGAGGCAACTTCTCGTTCCAATGCGCCTCCACGTTCCAGTGAGTGTATGTGTCCCTGGGATTGTTCTCCTTGGTGCAAGTCACTTCGATCTGTCGGAAACCCCACTGAGGCAAGTTGACGTTACCAGCTCGCAAGTAGCAGCCAAGGCTTTCATGTCTCAGTCGGAACGCGGTGGTCAGGGTTCGGACCCTGCTGCGGTCCCTAGATGCAACGTCTCGCACAACCTCTACCTTCCAGTGGTCTTTGTCGTCGCCTATTGTCAAGTTACCGTAACAGGACACCTCCTTGTCAGCCTTGGTAACAGGCGCAGGAATATCGTGAGAGTGCAGGTTGCGGCCGGTCTGAGCGTGGATCAGACGGATGGTTTCGCCGTCTCCAATAAAGCGAGGCTCCTCATTCTCGTCATAATCCTTGTCGCGGCGGTTCGGGTAGAAGAACCAATCGTTGTTGGCATCCTTGTGGTGGTAGCAGGTAATCTGTTGTTGGCCAGAACCATCGGGGTAAGTTTGGACGTGGGAGTGCAAGAGTCCTCCGCCATAACCCATGTTCTTAATCGTTGCCCGAGAACCATAGGCTACCTCGAGAGGGCTGTTCTGGCCAACCTCAGTGCCACGCAGGTTGGCCTGGAAGAGTGAGCTCATCTGGGCGTCACCTGGTCCGCTGTCGGTGAGGACGGCAAAGTGGATGGCAAAGCTGAGCATGTAGATCAGGAATGGGAGGACGATCAGGCCAACTACTCTCGCGGCAAGGTGGGCTCCGAGCTCCGCGTAGGGCATCCGGATGTTGCCGAACTTGTTCCAAAGGTCCTCAGCCGTGTAGAGGCCAACCAGCGCAGTGACGAAGAGCCCGACCAGTTTAACACTAGTAACACAGCCGATGCTGACTCCGGTCATGAACAGCCAGAAGAACCATTCGGGTTCGAAACTCTTGTCCTGCAGCCGGTGGAACTTCGCCCAGCAGAGGGTCGTCGCAACCGTGCCGCATAGGAGCATGGAATCGAGGAGAATAAATCGGCTGATGGTGGTGTACGAGTTTTCGCAGAGAACCATGAGCGTAACTAGCCAGACTGCTGGTCGCCTGAAGTTGAGTTCCTTGGCAGTCCAGTAGGCCATTGGAACGCAAATAGCACCGAAGAAGGCATTGAACTGGCGCATAAAGGTGTAGTTGACATCCGCTGGGTATGTCTCCCCAGACTTGAATTCGAAGGACCCGTTGTATCCAGCAAGATACCCCGACAGGCCGACAAGGAGCTTTCCCAAAGGCGGCTACCCTAGCATTAGAATATTGTCTGGTATAAGATTCTGGTGGGGGCCAACGTACGTGGACATCGAAGTAGTATTCATGCTTCAGGTAGTGGGATCCGAACTTTCCAAAGCTGCCACGATGTCAAGGTCAGCGAATCTTGCTGGTGGCTAACACCAGTCGGGTGCTCAACGTACTGGGCTTCGTCCCAGGTCACAATGTTGGACCGTCCGATATTATAGAGGCGGGTGAAGAAGGCGAGGGCGGTAAAGATGATGGGGGCGATGAGGAACTCCCATTCGTCGAGGACTTGGATGATCGATGGTTGCTAAAGTTGCCCATGTCAGTACGTGCTCTACACGGCATATGACTCATGATCGCCTTAACTGACCTTCTTGACCTTCTCCTTGTCGTCGGCTTGAGGCTGGCCTTGCAGGGCACCGGGCTGGGTAGAAGGGACGTTGCGCCTCCGTAGGGCATCATCGCCGACGTCTGCGCCAGAGGCGACGGCCCGTTCGGTTGCGGCCATGGTGGCAGCGGTCTGAAGTAAGCTCAGCTCAAGATCACGTCTTGAGAAGAATAGTCCCAGAAGGGTGGAAAGGAAGTGGAGATAATAAATGTGGTGAAAGACAGTGTCGAAAAAGGGGGGTGGGCAAAGTAGGATCCCAAGGTCCGGGGGTCCTGCGATGAGAATGCAAAAGGCTATCGCGCAGACATCGGCTGCCCGGTGGAAAGGACAATTTGGCGATAGAGGATGCACGACCTCTTGTGGGAGTGGAGAGAGTGTGGCCGAAGACAGAGCTTGGCTGGAGGGAAAGGGATGGAGGGGAGGATTACTGAAAATAATCGTGGCCTTTACGCAGGAGCAGCCGTCAGCTCTGGATCAGGGACGAGATTGTGTAGTACCTGGGTAGCGCGTAGGCTTCGTACCTAGGTACCCGGGGTCCGCGCTTGTAGCTTGCTAACAAGGCAGCCGCAGGGTGTCAAGAAGAACCCTGCCTGAGCTGCCCACGCCGGTGGTACCGTGCAGTACGGCAGCACCTTGAGAGCTCCAAATTGATCGCCAAGGCGAGTGGATCAGCACATCCGCCCTCCCTCCCTTGCAGTACTGAGTGACAGCCAAGGATGTGCGGCCCAGGCCCGATTGACCCACAGTTCCGTGGTATGCTGTGGGCTGCTAACACAGCTACATGTGCATGTTTTGTTTGATTTATATCAAACTACATGCTCGTTTCATTATACCACAGTCACCATGGTTCCCAATTGACTCGGGCATTTCCTCCATTTGCCTGGAGGTTTCTGGAGACCTACGGACACGAGCCGGTAGATCCCTAGGCTCTGTCAGAATTAATCGATTCTACGTGAACACTTAAGCCGGGCTGGCGGGGGAGGAGTGGCCAGATTCGGCACATGTTGGAGGTTGCACGAAATCTCCCCGTTGCCGGGGCGGCGTGGCACAGGAAACTTGTCATGTACGATGTCTATTCAGGCGGCTGATTCCTGTCCAATAATGCGGCTCTCTCTTCGTGCCCATCTCGGTAGTTTGGGGGCACTGCGATTAGACCTGACCAACGAAGGGGTAGTGGAAAGCGTGAGGTTTCTCTCTGTGCACGAGAGGAGAGAAATTTTCACCCAAGGGAGCAAAGTGAGCGGCCGCCCATGAGATCTGTCCACCGAATAGCTGGCCGGTTCATATATCGGACGACTACTGACTGAGTAGCGGTCCATAGTAGCCCGCCCATGGTCAAAAGCCCCTTACCGGAGGTACACTAGAAAGAAGGACACGGTCAAGTGCAGAGCTGCCCCACTTGGTACATGTGCCATGTATACTGCTGTGTAGACCAAGCAGTCAATACCAAATAGACTTTATGGCAGACCACAGACACCCGGACAACCCAATTCATGGGATCTTATGCATCCGTTGTTGGGTGTGATTTCCGTTCGGGATTATTCTGCGGAAAGAGTAGAGTGTAATGTATTCACCTCATTTGTGACCGCCAAACGTCAAGACCCTTGGGAGCTGCGTGCGGAACGGGAGCGCTCTGACAATGGGTAGATACTGGGGAGATGTTAGGTTGTCATTCTCGCTGCATGTGATGGACCGGGCTGCCGGGGCGGCCAGGTCGCTGACTTGCCTCAGTTCCCACCTTCCCGGGCGCATACCCCAGCACTACCAGCGTAGCGGTGCTGGGCCGAGACCACCTGGCTTTCCACCCGGTGCTAGGTGCTGGGATAGGCTGCGACATTAAAGATCTGAACATACCCCTACGCAGTAGACTGACTTGCATACCATTCCACCATTTCCCAGATAGCAGATTGACTTTGGGGTGCCAATTGCCATAACCCCCGTCCGAACTGCCGAGAACCTATACTATCGTTGTGACCCCTCTGCATATTCTCCTAGGGTCTCTGTGAGGCACCTCACATGGGCCGCCGCTCAGTTCCGCATCGCCCTGCCCGACCAGGTTCCAAATGTCATCCCTAGTATCCGACTACATCATCAACCCCGTCACCCAGACCGTCGTCCGTCGCTTCTCGAGCCCTTTCACCGTGGAACCTTCGCCCGAGCCCCGTCATCCCTTCTCACGCGGCGACTACCCAGAGGAAAATGGCGACGCCATTGCCGACTGCGACGGACCTTCAACTCCTTTCCCCAGCCTCGCAAGGTTCACAAGGACTCCCGACATAGCCCTTGGTGCCAGGTCCCCACCTCTTCTCATCCCCCAAATGCGAAGGGGAGTCACTGCTCCCGTCACAGACGAACTGTCACGCCCATTGACAGTCCCCTCAATTGCTCCTCTACGACTCGAGATGGAGCGCCATGAGCTGTCCGACACGGAGAGCGCCGCCGAGCTAGAGGGTGCCATTGACGCTGGCGCACAGGCCGAGAGGGAGTCCCGCAGGCTACCTGCAGACGACGGCATGCGGGCAATGCGACTGCGGATTCTCAGTATCCAGTCTAGCAATATCACTTTCGACCAAAAGAGATACCTCACACAGCAGCTCCTTACCGAAAAATATACCAGCGTCAGGCTCGCCAAGGCAGTCGCTGAGGGGAAACCCGCAACGCCTGTCCCCGCCACTGAGCATGCCTCAGCTTCGACCTCTCGAGATATCGGCTTTGGAGTTTCAGCGCTGGAGACGCTCAAGTCCTGGACTGGACTCGAGGACAGGGCCAGACTCCACGTCTCAGATGAAGACCGCCGACCTACATATGTGCCCGCCACGGCCATTCTCAATGACGAGGAAGACATGGAAGATGACGCTGGGAAGGCGGAGGATGCCGACGGCGCCGAGGCTCAATTACTGGGCTGCTTGCACTACAGACGGAACGTCAAGCTCCAGTGTGCGGCGTGCGAGAAATGGTACACTTGCAGGCTGTGTCATGACGAGGTCGAGGAGCACATCTTGCCCCGGAAGCTGACCAAACACATGCTGTGCATGCTGTGTGGTTACGCGCAAAAGGCATCCGATACCTGCGTGAACTGTGGCGAGTGCGCGGCTCAGTACTATTGCAACATCTGCAAATTGTGGAGCGACGACGTCAACAAACCCATATATCATTGTGATGACTGTGGTATCTGTCGAGTTGGGCATGGGCTGGACAAGGACTTCTTCCACTGCAAGGTATGTGCATTTCAGCGATGCCCTCACTATTTCACGTGCGATGCTAACTTTCTTAAACACAGACCTGCCGCGCATGCATATCCATCACACAGACTAACAACCACAAATGCATAGAACGTGCGACAGACGCGGACTGTCCCATCTGCGGCGAGAACATGTTCGCCTCGCACAAGACCGTCATTTTCATGGACTGTGGTCACTCGATCCACCGCACATGCTTCAATGAGTACATGGCCTCATCCTACAAATGCCCAATCTGCAGCAAGAGCATTGTGAACATGGAGGCGCTGTTCACAAACCTGGCGAACATCATCCGCGAGCAGCCGATGCCGGAAGAATTCGAGAACGTCACGTCGATAATCCTCTGCAACGACTGTTCAGCAAAATGCACCACGCAATACCATTTCCTGGGCTTGCGTTGCCAGATTTGCCGCTCATATAACACAGTGGAACTAGAGCGGTCTGAGATGCCCGGTGAGAGGGCTGAGAGTGAGCAAGCACCCGCGCCCGGACATTCAGTCCCAGCGACCACAGCAACGCAGGCGCACCCTCAGCGCTCATTACAGGACCGCACCAATGGGTCAAGCTCTACCCCAGGACTGCACTCAAATCCTTCGCATGCGCACTATAGCTTGAGCCAAGACGCCACAAGTCCGACTAGCCTACGTACGCAGGCAGTCCCGGCGCCATACCCCACGATTGAAGACGACGAGGACGAAGAACTCGACTTCTGGGGAGGCGAGGCCCGGAGCGGGCCCGAAAGCGAAGAGGACGACGACTACGAAGACGACACAGACGCCGAGGACTCGGAGAACGAGGAGGAGGATGACGACAACGAGGACGAAGATATCATGTTGTTCGGCCATAGGTGAGGAGCCATGGAACTCGTCTACGGGAAACTTCGGGAGATTGCATTGCCATTGGTGTTTTGAAAGGCGACGGCGTTCGGCATACCTGATATCGGAGGCAACCGGCTGGGCTTCGGTGAGGGACGATCAGTTGGGTTAGCACACATGCATTCGATGGGGTTGGAAAACTTTGGGCTCGGCGCAGGGCATTCGGCGTCTGGTGGATGGGTGGCTGTTTGATTAAACGGCTGTTGGTAAACGCCCGGGGGCCATATTGACTTAATTGCACAAGCCGTGCAGAGGTATTCACATAGCAAGTAATCGATTCGCAAACCTCGGGTGCTTCCAGAAAACTTGGTGTCCGCCGACGCATCCCTCAAAATAGTAATGATCAAAAGCAACGCATAACTTGGTGACAAAGACGCCGAACTCCATGAACCATCTGAAGCGCAGGCTCAGTCATTGTTGTTGCTGCTGCTGCTTGCGCGACTCGAGCTCAATCTTGGTCTCCTGGGCGCCCTTGCGCAGCTCCTTGATGGTGGTCTGCAGTCGGGCGAAAGTGAGCGATTCGAACGCCAGGCAGGGGACAGCGCAGGGGAAACGAGGAAGCACACGTGACAGACTTACAGCAAGCGCCTCCGGATTGACTCCCCGCTCAATCAAGGAAGTACATATTGATATCTCTCGCCGGTCGAGGTGGCAGTTCTGTGTTGGGCGCACGCGATCAGCACGCGGTCATAGGTGTTACGGCGGATGGTCGCGCACGATGGAGGATTGGGCGGCTTGCTCACGAGGATCTGAGAGATCTCCCAGAGAAGGTCTACAGCGACTTGCGCCGAGGCCTGCTTGTTTTCTTCTGGTGGAGGCGGCATATTGTGTTGTCTCTGGGTTGTATGTTGGTGTGGTAGAGTTGAGGTTCTGAATGAGCGCGGATAAGGTACCTACATGGAAGCCAAACGAATCCGCGGGTTTCCTGGTGGGGGCGCTGCTTCGTGGACCCTGCATGTTATGCGGAAACAACGAACGCCACCTTCGCGTCGTGAAAGATATTGTGGTGTTCTGTATTCCATTACCCTTTCATTCTAACGGTATGGATTGAAATGTTTCGTGTCATATTTCATTCGCGTCATTACTCGTCTCAGCCACTGCAGTCTGTGAGGCTGCCACCATGACTCCCTTGTCTGCCTTCCTCTTGTGGGATCAGGCACTCTGGTGGTGGACGGCATACAGGCACTCCAAATGGACAAGAAGACAGCTGGAATCACACAGTCACCCTGATCGTGGTTAGGCTGCTCGATTTCAAACCTTCCTGCAGTTCCCGTGCGTGCGCACAAATTCCAACTTCATTGCAGAATTGCGCCAGCTCAGCTCTTGAAAGCCTCCACGAACAGCTCCCTCATCCCCTTCAATAACACCGCCAGCTCCCTCGTCTCGTTCGTCCTCTCCAGAACCCTCTCGACGCTCTCCCTGTCCAGCTTCGGCCTGCAGTGCTTCACCTCATAGTCCCTCGACGTCGTGCTCAGCTCGAACCACGCCTCGCGCTCCCAGTCCTTCTCGTCGATGTGCGAGAACACAAACTTGAGCCTGTCGTCCTGCCCGGCCCCCTCGATCTTGAGGCACAGGTTCGTGATCCAGAAGTCCAGCTCCGGCACGTTGAAGCGCGCCTGCGCCTCCTGCTGGGCCTGGTGCGCCCGCTGCGCCGCCAGCCGCGCGTCGATCTCCTTCTGCGTCTCCTCAATCTGCTTCTGGAGCGTGTCCCGGAGCGCGAGCTGCTTGTCGCGCTCCGCGCTGAGCGAGGCGATGGCGGCTTGCATCTCGCGGGTTTCGGCTGCCTCCTTGGCGATGCTGTTTTGGTGTGTGTTCGTCTTCATCTGGAGTATGTCGATATCTTTTCTCTTCATTCTTTGGTCCTCTAGATAGCGCTCAAGTCAGCCCCAGCATTGCGGTGTGTCGGGGAGCGCAAGGGAGGCGCCCACCTTGGAGCTCTGTGACCTGCATAACGAATTGATTCTTCTCCTCCAGCACTCTCTTTCGCCCTTGCTCGATGAAGGCATCGAACTTGGCCGTGAACCTGGCCATGCGATCGCGCAGCTCGTCGAATCCGAAGTTGATGCTCGGCAGGCTGTCCGCCACGGATGGCGTGGCCATTGTTTGTCGGCTCTGTGAGCTCCTGGGCTCAAATACGGTAGACATCTTCTGGCAGTATATTTGATGGGTGGTTCGTGTGGAATTTGATGGCGTCGTTTCGAGATGAGGTGACTGCTTTGGGCGGAGGAATGTCGCAGTGCCAGATGGAGCGTGGGTGAGGGACCAAAGTGAATGCGAAAGCCGATTCCCGTCTCTGTAGATCTCGGTCCGTTGCCAGAGCAATAATCGTGCACGCCTGTCATGTCCAAGCACGCTAATAAGGTACGTACCCGCGGCCAGGGGTCCAACTAGGGTGTCGGTCCATTGGCTGCTCACTTTAACTCGCAGTGGATCTGGCCCGTCTCTCACTACCTTTTTTGGGGGATAAAGTTTTACTTTCTCTCGATACAAGCCAGGACATTCTTCACCCATATCTTTTTCCTATAACACTTTTCTGGAAAGCTCGTGCTGGCTCGGCCATCGCTATGCATGCTCCAACCCCGAATTTAGTGAACAGATTTAAGACCGATAAAGCTTATGGCTGAGGGCAGCCCCAAGTCGGGCGGTGGTGGGCATCACCAGGTAGCTCAAAACAAAATATCCGACAAAATTGAGATTCATCGAGTGAACGACGTCTTACTCGGTCATGTGGGCCAACTCTCATACCACTCTGCCCGTGATGAGCATACAGACATTGGAGACCTGGGCTTCAGTCGGATAGTTGAAAACCGTGCGTGACCAGTCAACGGCACTTGGGCTCCTGTTGTTTTCTAGGTGGGCATGATACTGACCAAGCCCGTAGCGCCATCGTTTCAACAAGTTTTGCCCTCCGAGCAGTGGTTCCCGCCAACACGGACAAGGTCCGGTGCACCCCATGCAGGCACTTTCAAGGATATCAAATCTCAAAAGTACTGGCTGCTCAAGACTTACCCGGAGGCTTTCCTCGGAAACTTAAGCCTGCAAGGGACAATATCGGAACAGCTTCGTGCCTCTCGGTCGCATGATTATGGCGTGGAAAGTCAAGCAGGATCGGTTCTCGCAGTTGGAGAGATCTCCGACCTGAGAAGTCCTTCTCACCCCGTATCACGGCCAGCCGTGGCGATGGCGGCTGGCGAGGCTGGCCATATTCTTCGGGTGTCCATGGTTGCCTTGGAAAAGTGGACGTGGGCCGAGTCATCGCTCCCAATAGGAGCACCTCAGTCACAGTTTCATGGGACTTGGAGCAGCGACGGATCCTCCATATCTAAGATACTGTTCGCCACCAAGCCGAGACAATATGACCCGATTAGATGGCTCATCGCTCAAAGGTCAACGTCAACAACCATCTTCCAACCAGAGATTCGCGCGAAACCTACGTCTGGAGCGGCGCAAACGGCGATATTGGGCGATGCAGATGTGCAGCACATTGCACTGGGCCCTCTTGTTACGCTGACCAAGGATGCTACCGGAGGAGTTGATCACTCTGACTTCTCAGTCAACGTCGGCTCAGAAACAGATGCTGCACAGATTGCGATTGTGGACATCTGTGGGGATTGGTCGGTCTGGTTCATTGATAGCCAGGGTAATCACCATGGGGGGCCAGGAATTTATACAGCCATTCCGAAGACCAGAGGAACTTGTGGACTCTCGCCATCGTCTTGGCCTTCCAATCAACCGCGTCCCTCCGAGAACAATTACCGGATTGCATGGGTCTGCAAATCGGCGAGAGTCGATGACTGGGAGCGTGACAGCAGCCCATCGGAGACCCATGGATCGGTATCCCGTTCGCTCCACACTGACTACCTCACTGGCCATGTTGAATCCGACCCAAAGTACGATGGACTGCTTATTTGCGATAACGCACGTGTCCAGGGTTTGGACACTGAGGGATCCAAAGTCCATCCGCATCTCAATTTTTCCAGGCGTCACAGCGCAGACGTGCTGCTTGAAGCTCAATCTATCGAAGGATGTCCATCCCATGTCCTGGTGCTCACCACAGAAAAGCTTTACGTGCTAGACACAAGCAGTATTGGAGATCAGGAAGCAAGGAACCCGAGTATACTGATCTCATGCCCACATTTCAGAGGTCAGACCAAACAAACTCTGAAAATGTCTGTGGTGAGATTGCAATCTTCTGCTGAATGGGCTAGTTCCCTCGTGTTGGTTTATTCTAGTCGCAATTCCCGCGTGCAGCTATTTCACCTCACGATCAACTCTCAAGATGGGAGTGCAAGCTTTCATCATCAGGTGGTGCAACTCCCGGGCTCTCACACCAATCTTGATGAGCTTGCAGGAATCGCATCGCTACATGCAGTACCTCTCCGACGTTCCGCATCGAAGGGCCGCCATAGTCCAGCAAGCGAGGCTGCCGGTGCTCACGTCGACAACAACAAGCTTCAACTCTTCCAGCTTTTTGTATTGGCCAATGACCTGAACCTGACCTCATCAGCTGTTGCCATTACATTTGGAAATGCTCAGTGGCCGGGATGGCCTGAAAAATCGACGAAAACTGCGTGGGATGACACCCAATGGAGGACTTCACTGAGAAAAAGGAGGCTACGAGAGGTCGAAGATGCCCTTGTCGTTCCTGATGCGGTCGAAGACGGCAGACAGCTCAGTCGCCAGCGTCGGATCAGGAGTTTCCCAAATCACAACACAATCCAATTGAGATACTATCTGGTCAAACTCATGCACGAGATCAACGTCGCTTTCTTTAGGGAATACGATTTCGTGTCGGGTGGTGACAACGGCGTCGGGCCTTTTGGTTCCATCAAAGACATATCGGAGAAGCGAGAAACACACGAGCACGTCGCGTTGCAGCCTTTGCTAGGATTCAAAGACCAATGGCACGCTCTGGATCTCACAAGATTGGATGCCCTGTGGAATCGAGACCTCGAGCGGCTTAAGAAATCGAGCGACGTCCAGCTCTTTGAATGCGGCACATTTGGGCCGACACTCGACGTCACCGCTTTCTTCGAACGGTTCTCCATCGATTGGTCCAGCCGGATGGCAGCTGAGTCGCTGGCAGCAGCCCAATGGAGATACATGCAGCTTGCGTTGGAGAGAATGGCTGCCGAAGTGTACTTGTCAGAGAAAGGCATCTACATGGCACCTCAACCAACTCTAGACCTTGCCTCAAGGGCTAAGCCGAGAGAAGGAAACAGTCAATCCGCAGTCGATGACTTGTATGAAGAGCTACCTTTTTCTCGCGCAGGGTCAGAAATGACATTACCGACACCTTCAGCAACACCGTCATCATCTCGAGCAACCTCCCAAGTTGCCGAATCGTTCGAGACGCAAGAGGAAGATGACACGTCTGATCGGGAATGTCCAGCCGTGACGCGCCTGCGTATGTATCTTCCATCAAGCAAGTTCACTCCTCCAGCAAAGCAAGGACAAAGCCGCGTTATGTCTCTCTGGCCTGAGCAGAGAGGCAGCGACCCCAAGGATTACAGATACTCGCGCAAGGGGAAGGGGGCGGATGGACTTGAACAAGCGGCGAAGCGCAGGCGGGAGAAAGAAGTGGAACGCCGGCGCCGGAGAGCCGAGAGGAAAGCACAGCTAGGGATTAAGCTCGAGGGCTTTGGCGACTCGCTCAGTCAGGCGCCTGTGCCGGATGAGGTCCGATCGAGTCCGCCGCCTCAGATGTTCGCGAAGAGCCAGGGACAGTATCAGGGCTTTGGGTTCGGAAGCCAGAGTCAAGCTCAGAGCCAGAGCCAGAGCCAGAACTTCGGTCCTTTCCAGACAATGTCCCAGCCGATCCGCGGTGAGTTCGGGACTAGAACCTCCGTGCTCAGAAAGAAGATCAAGGGGAAGCACAAGGCAAAGTCGGGTTTTAAGTAGAAGCCTTGATTCTTTCAGCCTTGAGAGGAGGTCGAGAAAGTTGTGTGCAACCTGTGTCTTCGGCGGACAGAGACAGTTTTGACCGTGGATATTGAACTCATTTCCCGTCAAGGGAGGACAGAAATCAGTTCTTTCCTATCGAATGGTATCATTAAAGTAGCGGAGTGAATACTCTTTTCTCAAGTGTGAGGTACCCCTACGAAATCTGGATTGGTATGCTTGTTTGTGGTTGAGTGTTGGCTGGCGGTAGGTACTGTTAAGATAGCGGGATTGTCGAGCTGAGTGGACCGATCTGCAACCTCCCGGCTGTGACTTACAAAAGTCATCAGCTACAGTTAAACCTGTTCACTCACCGTCACACTCAACTCGTAATTCTCCCAACTTTTCATATCAACAATCATTGCCCAGGATGTCTCACTGTCACGATGAGCATGATCACCATCATGGTGGTGATGAGCACGATCATTCTGACGATATTACCCCGGCGCTGCAGTTCTCACTGTATCAGCACATCGACTTCGATAATATCACCACCCTCAACGAGAGCGTCCACGGCTCGGGCAAGGCCATAACCAAGAAGGAATGGACCGACAGACTGAGCGGCCAGCCCGAGGTGGCCAGCGATGCCGACGAACAATTGATCATTAACATCCCGTGAGTCTCAAACAACGACCAAGCACGAAAGATCCGCTCGCACACATTCTCACACCCACACCCACACATACACACACCCATACATACACACGTCCACACACACAGAAAGAGAGAGGGAGAGATGCAGATAGAAGTCGACTGACAGCACTGGGCCTTGCAGTTTCGCCGGGCAGGTGAAACTGCACTCGATCCTCATCCGCACGTCGCAGTCGGCCAGCGCGCCCAAGACGCTCAAGGTCTTCCAGAACAGGGAGGACATCGACTTCGAGGCGGCCGAGGACGCGTCCGCCGAGCAGGAGTTCGAGCTCTCGCATACCTCCGAGGTGCAGGATCTGCCCGTCAAGCGCGCCAAGTTCGGCAAGGTCCAGCGCCTGGCCCTCTTCTTCCCGGACAACTTTGGCGACGGCGACGAGGACGTCACGAGGATCTCGTACCTCGGCTTCAAGGGCGAATGGATGCAATTGGGCCGGGCCCCGGCCAATATCCTTGTGAGTGATTCCCCTCCCCATCACGCTCTCGGAAATGTCATTGCTTTTCTGTCATTACTGTGTAATGGGACTGCACTTCCATGAGGGTAGCCGCAGCGAATTCAATATTTCCACAGTCCTGGATGCAGTGCTGCAGACTGGCTTCCCTTGACCCTGGTTCTTAAAGATGGAGGTGACTGATTTGAGATGTTGCAGTACGAGGCCGCGGCAAATCCAAATGACCACAAGATAAAGGGTACGGACATCAATCAGATGGGCAGCGGAATTGGCGGTCGTGGTCCGGGCCAGTAGAGATGTGGTCTACCTGGGAGAAATCCAAGCGGGTAGTTCACTTGTATGCTACAGATTTGCGAAGGATGGCAGTATCTCAATGCTTGTCCCAGCCGATATTATCAGCTTCGATTATCGAGCCACCATATGGCGTACCACCACTATCCCGTTGGTAGCTACATAAAATCGTCCTCCCAGTTCTCGTCTCGGTCTTGGTTGCTCGATGCTGCCATGTTCTCCTCGCTGAAAATATCATCGTACGCATGATCCTTCTGGTACTTCAGCTGCTCTCTCTCCTTCTTAATCCGGGCTTCTTCCTTCTTCTGGAGGGGGAATTAGTATCGACTGACAGCCGCTGAGATGGGTAGCAAATAACACATACTCGTGCCAGCTGGGCAGCCTGGTCCTTTTTCCGCAGCTCTCGCTGCCGGTCGTCCTTCTCCTGCTTCAGGTCGGGATGTTTCTCAACCTTGGTCTTGTTGAGTCTGTTGATGATTGCGTTTTCCCTCTCACGCACCAGGACCCTCTTGACCTAGTAAAGAAGTCAGAAAAGGAGTCCCAACGCCTGATGGTCTGAGGAATAGCAAACCTTTTTGTCGCTGTGGAAGGAGACCTGGCCGACTGCCATGCTGCCGTCTTTCTTGAGGTTCGACCATGGTGTGTAAATGATGGTGATGTTGTCCTTCTTGTTGCCTGAACATATCTCTCTGAGCACTCAGGTCTCCGTTCAATTGACGGCGGTATGGCATACCTTCGATCGAGTTGGCCTTGGTAAGCTGTGCCAGATCCGTGACGAGAGGTTCGGGGATGTTCTCCCACGTCTCGCCCTCTCTTAGCCGCAGGTAAATATGCGCACTAGAAAGCTTGTCCACATGAAACTAGAAATACCACACAAACAAGTCAGGCCGGTGATGGGCATTCCGCAAAAGTACGGCTCTCTCTCATACCCTGCAGCCTTGTGAGTACGTTGTTCCAGCAAACGCAGACCGCCAGTACCCAGATAAAACTTACCAAACATCCTCTTCCCACCCATGCTTGATGAGATCCTCGTCTGTGAGGAACGGTGTCAGTTGTCACTCGGCCTCTTTACAACGATTGTGGGCACTTGGGCACGAGTCCACGCACTCTCGAACTTGTCCTTGCCTACGTAAACATAGGCAGGCGGGTCGACCACGGTTGAGGTAAAGTAGTAGACCATTCTGGATCTTGGGGTCAACGAGAGTCGCAGGTCAAACAAAAGAAATGGTGAGGTGAATGTCCCTCCTGCAAGTTCTCAGGTTCGTCGCATCGGCTGCCCAGGGGGTTGGTGGTGCTGGGGGTCTGTGAGCCCGTAACTTACGCTGCGGCTGTACTGTATTTTATCTCCACAACTTTTCTTCGACGGCCGTGGCAGGCAAACTCATTCGGCTGCAGCAGGTGCTGGGTACAGCGACGCCAGAACCTCAAATTTCGGGTGGATTGGCACCTCACCCTCGCACCCACGACCTCACATCGCCGTTCGTTCGCTTGACACGCAGCGTAGCGACAATGGCGCCCAACATACCCGCGAGGTGCTGGGCATCAATACCCCGACCGTCAAGGGCGCCCTCGGCCCTCATCGCCGGCATACAACGCCCCCAAACGACGTCGCTAGCCTTCCGACCCGCCCTCTCCGTCGCCGCCGCCGCGCAGACCACCCAGACGCGCGGCGTCAAATACGGCTGGAGCACCCTCCCGAAGCGTTCGAGCTTCCAGGTAAAATACAACTCGGGCAACGGCCTGCCGGAGCCGACGACATCCCCTGCGGCCGCCCAGAAGCGCAAGCAGCGCAACACACCCCTCCGGACGGGGATCCTGGCGACCAAGAAGGGCATGACGGCATACTACACGCAGAACGGCAAGCGCATGGCCTGCACGGTGCTCCAGGTCGAGGAGTGCCAGGTCGTCGCTCACAAGGACCGCGAGACGCACGGCTACTGCGCCGTGCAGATCGGCTGCGGGTCGAAGCGCCCCGGCAACGTAACCGCGCCGGAGCTGGGGTACTACGAGGCCAAGGGGATCCCGCCCAAGGAGCACATCGTCGAGTTCCAGGTGCGCGACGAGGCGGGGCTGGCACCGCCCGTGGGAGTGCAGCTGCTGCCGGATTGGTTTCATAAGGGACAGTGGGTGGACGTCAGGGCGAACTCGAGGGGCCAGGGGTTCGCGGGTGGCATGAAGAGGCACGGGTTCAGCGGACAAGAGGCGAGTCACGGTAACTCGAAGAACCACAGGACTATGGGTAGCGCGGGCCCCTCGCAAGGAAGCGGTTCGAGAATCCTGCCCGGCAAGAAGATGCCCGGGCGCATGGGCAATGAGAGAGTGACGATGCAAAACCTGGCTGTCCTGCGGGCGGACAACGACCTGGGTATCATCGTAGTCAAGGGGTGTGTCCCGGGACCCAAGGGCGCGCTGGTCAGGATCTCGGACGCGGTCAAGCAGGACCCACCACCGCAGGAGTTCATTGACAGGATGAACCAAGCGCTGAACGAGAGATTCCCCAATGCCGAACAAGACCTCACTGGGGCACGGAAGATGCACTTGGAGCTGAAGCAGTTGAGAAAGGAGGGCAGGATAGTGGAGGCTGTTCAGATGGGTTTGCATGAGACCGCTGAGGAGGCTGCGACGCCGATCGCTGTGTAGGATATGTACCCTGGCGAGCAAAATAAAAGTACATGAGAACACTCTGGAGCACGCAATGATACTGATGAGATGTTCCTGGAGCATACTGACATACTTCATGAACCAGCTACGGCAAACAGACCAGCTCTCACAGTTCCCAATGCTTTATGCGGGTACACGGCTTGTCACCACAATATCTAGCAGGTTCTCCCGATAGTTCATTTCAAAGGAAGGCTGCGCTGGCCGACCTGCGCGTCGGGACCTTGGAGCATCGCAGCCCATATATCTTCGGGAGAGCTAATGAGACAAGGAGTGAGACTCATGCCTCAGCATCAACTCCCGTCAATAGCTACTGCTGTCTGCTGCGACGGATTCTGATGATGGGTACAAGACTCAGGAGCGATTCAAAACGGGGAAGAGTATTCAGGTCAACAACTCATTGGCGCCAATCTTGTGATTGCAAATGCTGAGACTATTGTACAGCGTGTCTACCAAATAATACACAGGTCTCTTTGCTGCAATCCCGACAACTCTTGCCGTCCTGATTCGAAGACCGGCCGAGGCATACGGTGTACCTCATGAGCCCCCTTGAGCATATCCAGCCCAGATCATTGTGTAACTGGATACCTCGCGAAGTGTTGCTCAAACGCGCACTCCTGCTGCTATGGGTTCATATTCCATGCTTATGCATGCTTATGCATTAATAGCATATCGCTGACGACTCGAGAATGGCGACCACGAACGTCGTTCCGTTCGTTGAAATCATTGACACACCTCCATTGTGGGAGACGACATCGCCTCGCGTGCCATAGAACTCCATCTAGTGCCTGAATCCCCTCGTGGTCCCCTCATCTTCATCATCGTCCAGCCCACCAGCCATCCTCATCGCGCGGAACGGGTCCCCGTCGTCGAGGAGGTCGATCCTCTTCCCGTCGCTCGTCTCGAGGCTCCACTCGGTGGTCTCGAAGACGCCCTTGGGCGTGGGCCTGAAGCTGGCGAAGTGCATGACGCCTGAGTTCCTGGTGCCCTTGACGGCGAAGGAGATGTCGATGCGGCCGTGCAGCTGGTTCATCTCGCCGCTGATCCAGGGGATCTGCTGCTGGAAGTAGATCTCGTCTCCGAGGTACTCGCGGGCCCTGGCGTTGTGGCGCAGCGCGTACAGCGTCGACGACACCACGGGCGACGAGCTCTTCTGGTAGTTGAAGATGGCAACGCTGGCGGCGGCGACGATGGCGAAGAAGACGGGCAGCGTGCGTGACCAGCGGAAGCGGTTTGCCTCGACGTCTGCGAGCCACCATGTTAGTCAGTCAGTCCAGTCCAGTCATCCGCGGACGGTGCTGGTAGGGCCATGTGGGCAAAGAGGACGGCCGGGCTCACCTGGCAGCTCCCTGTCGGCCCGTCTTTCCATCAGAGGTCCATCTCCGGGCTTCGGTGCGGCGATGAGCGACCTTCTTTGCGGCAAAGCTCTCCTGGAGACGGGCACCCTCAGTGCCCGGAGGACTGACGTCCTACATATCGGCCTTGGCAACATGTCTGCGACCGTGTGTGTGCAGATTGGTCGTCGGATGGAGAAAGACGTTGGAATAATTCAGGGCTGAAGTCGATCATCCCACCTCACTGTGGAACCCCAGACCCCTGTTTCTCACGCCGGCAGCGGCTCTTGGGGTAGATCGACGTCACCTAGGCTGCTAGGCCGCGGTACATAGCTCGGTAGAAGTTCAGCTCTCGAACCTTATTTGCGATCCGCCCTGCTACTTTCACTTCATCCCATGTAACCTCGCCAGCACATAGCTTGCCGCCTCACTTTCAGGTCGCCCTCACTTAAGAGCTCGTCCTCAGCACCACAGCGGGGCTGTTTCAACGCGGCCTCCCCTACAGAGAGTGAAGCAACATGGACATAGGCAACGCAAGGACGCGACTCCGTCGCACATTCCACTACCCCACCGATGAGAGTTCCAACGGGAGCACCCCGGAGGTCCTGGATGAAGAGGGTATGCTCCCAGGCCCTTATCAGTAGAATACTATCACATGTAACCTTTCCATGTGCACGGATGGCTAACCTTCCCCCGAACAGAACAGGAGAAGCTCATTCAGACCCTCGCAGAGCAGAACGCAACCACCAACCAGCAGTACCAGATCATCCTCCTCGCACTGCCAATCCTCTCGTGCATACCCTACCTCCTGGCGCTCTTCCGCCCCTCGACGACCCTCATCGCCGTGCTGGGCCTGACCTCCCTGGCAAGCACGTCCTTCCTCCTCTTCAGCCTCCCGCCGACCGAGACGGGCATCCACGCGCTGGACGCCTGGGCCAGTTCGGGTTCCACGCGAGGCCAGCAGGGCGGTGGCGACGGCAACGATGGCCCAGGTGTGTCGGCGTCCGGGTCGGGCGGCGGTGGCCCTAGCGGGATGAGCACCCTCAGCCAGCGGCGCCAGCGGAGGCGGCGCGCGAGCAGCTTCAGCGTCGCGCCGCAGAAGAGCCCGCTCGAGAGGCACCTGCCGCTGCTGAACGTCGGACTCTGCGCCGTGCTGGTCCTGTACGGCCTGCTGGTGCAGCGGCGCGGCGGGGGGACCAGCGAGCACTATGACGGCAGCGAGGACCAGCGCCAGCACTTTGGCTGGCTCGGCCTGGGGAACCTGCCCGCCATCGTGTACGCAGTCGTCATCGTGGCCAAGCTGCTGATGGCGAACGTCGACCCGGAGAGGGAGCTGACGGCGCTGAAGTACGACTATAAGGGGGCCTGAGAGGCCAAGCCGGCCATGTGCTCTGCCGTCGGGGAAAGGCTGCCGTGTTTGTAGGCGTTACTGTTGATTTGCACTGGTCGAATGGCTGTTCCACGAGAATGAGAAACGCGAAAGTATGCTTCGTTTGATATAGATACCCATATCCAGACCATTATCGGAAGACCTTGGCCCATTGACTCCAGCGTAGCTTCTTGCTGAGATAAAATAGGCCATAATTTCTCTGCCGAGTGTATCACTGAGTGACCCAAAGAAACCGGTCTTGCCGCATCCCTCCCGATCACGAAATTTGGAGGCTTAGTGAACTGCACGGTAAGAATCGCTGGTTTCTATGGACAACACAATGCGTCTCAAACGTTTGGATTGTTGTCACACATATCTGCCTGCAAAGCTTATTTTGGTATGTGAGCTTGCCGGTGTAAAGCCAAATGTGTCCAGCTCAAATGTCGCGTTCAATGCGCGACATTGCATCGTCCAGACCAGATCAGACCTAATCATCCCATTCTTCTCTGGCTTTGACTCGAACAATGTCCAACCTCATCATAATGCGGGTAATGTGGGCTCTTGTAAGCTCCATACTTTTCTGCAATATCTCATTCATTTCCGGTCGTAATCTAGGGTTCTCTTTTCTTTTCGGAAATGCAAAACCTCGTAACAAGCTATTACATATCTATCGAATCGGTGAATCTCAGCACACCAGTGTATTTGAAAACGCCATCGACACCTGGTGGCAGCTTTTCAGGCGGAGGGTTAGAGAGTGGTCCAGCCTCGGAAGACTTGTCGACCACAAGGGCGAGTCCTTGGGCCTTGATGGCGTCCACAAGCGACGGCACCATTTTCTGCCATTATAATTAGTACGGGCACACGTCCGGTGATCGCGGGTGCCAAAAGGGGATTTGATATGACGTACCAGAAGCCTTGAAGCTACCACCAACCCCATAAAGTTGTTGCCCTGGGCCGTCCTGACCACCTCCTTGATCGAGCTGGATCTACGGCCATGGTTCACGGCCGCGGCGATCATCTGCGGGGGCGCCATCGAGACTTCTTCGCGGCCGAGGTCATTACACATGAACACGGGGAAGTTAGGCTGCTTCCAGTTGAGCGCGGTGCAGACGCTAGGGCTGTACGAGCTGAACACGACGGTCCGGACGGCCGTACTGCCTCCACTCTGTTGGGACTGTGCACGCTGCACACGCGCGTGGTCGAACACGATTCCCAGCACCGAGTCAACAAAGTTGTTCAAGCCGCGGCTGTTTGACTCATGGGGTTGCGGGTGGGCGTGATCCTCTGCTATCTGGTAGATGAAATGCAGGTTGAAGTTCACGCTGGAGGGTAGCATGTCGAGGGCCTCAGTGAGGGTGAGTCCCGCTGATGCGAAGAGGCGGTGGATTTCCTGAAGCTCAGTCTGTTGATGGAGGATTCCTGTTGCGAGGGCCTTTCTCGAAGGTGAAATTCGTGCCATCTGCTCGAACTGTGCGTGGGTTACCCATGACAGAGGAACGGCCATACCTTCTGTGCCCATGTCCACTGTCCGTGTGGGCCACAGAACTGCAACGCCATCCTTTGTCTGCTGCACATAGAGTCTCACGAAATTACCAACAAGACTCGACCCGGTAACAAAGCTGCTGATATGGCGATCAAACTGCCTGGTTGCCTTCCAATATGTCTCGAAGTCGGTGATTTCCAGGGGCTTGCCTTGGAAAGGCTTGATAACCTGCGTGTTGAAGCTGATTTGACCGATCGCGCGAAGTCTGGGATCAAACAGGGGAAGGCAGCAGCTGCCGGAACTGCTCAATGAGGCGCGGAAGGTGTTGGGCAAAGCCACCGTCTTCGCAATGACTTTAGCTCCGTACGTCGGAAACACGTCAAAATCCAACGTGAAAGCATCGAGATTGTCGACCTGGAAAGAAACAAGACGGGTATCTTCTGTGAAGGGGAGGATTATATTCTTAGGAATGAAGTCGGAAGCCTTGGACGAGATGGTCAACCGAGCGGCGGGGTATTTGCCATCGTGGAAGAACACGAGAGGTTGTTCAGCATCTGCACCAAAGTTGATCTGTACGACGGTCTTGGTATCCAGGAAATTGTGGCCATATCTACGCAGTGGGATGATGGGTGGCGGTAATTCGAGGTCTGGGATTCCATCTGGATCGAGTGACATGCTTTCGGGCTCCTGGGTCTGTGCCATTGGGCCTAATGAGGGCGGCAATACTTGTGTCGTCCTGGGGCTCGGTTCCTGGCTCGGTGTACCTTGAAGGGATATCAGCAAATTCATGCACTCGAGATGACCCTCCCACGCTGCATAATAAAGCGCTGAAAGGTCTTTCTCGTCAAGGATATTTGCGTCAACCCCTTCATCCAGAAGTGCTCGCAAGCAAGGGACGTTTCCTTCGCTAGCAGCATGTACGAGTGGCGTCCATCCATACAGCTTGTCGATTTGATCGAGGTCAGCCCCGAAGTGCTTCAGTAGGCTCAGCAGCTCGGGATTCCTGGCAGATCTGGCCACAAGGTGCTGGGGATACAGACCTTCGGCATCGGGTAGGATTTGAGCGCCTTTGGTGAGGAGAAGCTCCACGATGGCATACGAACCATGTTTGCATGCCAGGTTTAGAGGGGCATGGTCGGTCTCTGAGATGGAATTCAGCCGGGCCCCTTTCTCCACAAGCATCTGTACGCAGTCCAAGTTGTTGTGTATGATGGCATGTACCAACGGTCGGAAATTGTCATGGTCGATAAGATTGATGGTGTCGGCGTCAACTGTGTCTAGGTCAGCAAATGAATGTAAGGCGAGAAAAGGGCCCTTCTTACCAGCCAAGAGTGCATCAATCATGTCCAACCGGCCATGCATACTGGCATAATGCAACGGCACCCGACCGTAGACGTCCGTTCGATTGACGGCAACGCCTTTTTCCAGTGCGAGGTTCAAGACAAAGTAATTGCCGTAGATCGTTGCTTGGTGCAAGCAATTCCGCTCATTGATGTCGTCTTCGGACTGGATGTCCACCAAGCCTGTGTCAAGCAGGAGCTGGAGAGATTCCTGTGGAGCTTCATTGATGGACGCAAGGAAGGTTCTGGTGATCCTCTCCATCAAAGACAGATCCATTGTTGAGTTGGGCTCCACTGCTTCTCTCATACGCCCTAGGAGGTCTCTCAAAGAATCGAGGTTCCCCGAGAGGACCGTCTCGAGGAGGATGGTGTCTGCATCTCCCTCTTCGGTACCCAGGAGATGATGGCTGCTCACGATGTGGTCTGGTCGTCCTTGCCCTTCAAAGCTGACGTGGTCCCCGTCTGCCCATGCACCGAGCTCCTGCAGGCTCGTTGTGACCTGGTCAGAGAGCTCACTGATGACAGTCGGGTTGAAGAAGGGCTGAACCTCAACAGCCCTGGAGAGATAGAGCTCCTTCGTCTTGGACTTGGAAGTCTTGTCCCATTTCTTCAAGATCTTGGAAAACGCCGTCCCATTTATGTCGACGAATTGCTGCAACTTGTTGAGGTCGTTCGCAAATTGTTGGAAACCCTCTTGAAGGGTTGTAAACTTGGCTGACCGTCTTGATATGCCATGGCGTGACTGGAGTACCTTTTTCTTATCCAAGAGGGTCTTGAGCCGGATTTTGAGCTACAGATTGCACGTCAGATTATCCATCAGGAATCCAGTGGCGGCTACATCGGGACTTTACCTCTGCCTCTTTTTGAAGATAAAAGGCGTTGACTTTCTCCAGCTCTCTTTCCTGGTCCACATTTAGCATCGGTGCGTTCAGGCTCATTTTCGCGCTTCCGAGAGGCCATCATACCAGCTGGAAGAAGAACGTCGCTTTGTTCGCCTGCAAAGCGGCCTGTGAATCTATTGTAGCGGCGGAGTGAAGGTGGTCATTCTGGGCCTGGAGCGTCGGAGTTGCGGAAAGCTTTTTAATGAGCTATATGGGAATGCAGTTAGCGAAAAGTCTCTCGCCCAAACTTCCTACTCGCGCGACGGTGTGGCCCGTGGGAAACACGGCTTCTGTGGTTCCAGTGTACTCCTCGCTTGCTGTTCTAGAGAATTTTTGTGGTACCCTTTCTATTTCAGAGCGGACGGGGTCCCAGAGCGGAGAGTGGGCGGTCGGAGGGGAGGCCCTGGAGGCAAGACACACCTTTTTTAGTGCTTTGTAGTTGACAAAATTGGCAGCATACTCAGGGACTTCAAGCTGGCGCTTCTGGATCTGCTTGCCAAACTTCCTGCTGGAGGATCAGCAAAAGCTGACATGGACGCACAGCAGCAGCACAAGCCACAAGCTGAGTAGAGCGCAGAGACTTGGGCCACGGCCATGGAGTCAGGGGTGACTCACATAGTGCGAATTTGAAGCCGCCGACCTGGGGAGGCCACAAGCTGTGACGCAAAGATTCAATCAAGTATGGAAACCGGCCGTTGTTTTATCGACTCGGACAGTCTCAGACAATGATGGGTCGGAAAAGATCAAGGACGTATCAGCCACCGGCCCCTCTTGAACAGCCCATGCAGGTGTGACGTCTGATTTGATCAGTGACTCTCTCTGAGGATGGACAAGCCGGCTCTGGACTGTGCGACTTGTTTGGACTTGCTTCCGCGCGGATGGGGACCCGAGACCCTTCCGACAAGCAGGTGGAGATGAGCCGTCCGGTGTTGGGCTTCCTCCTTGCCAATCGGAATTGCAGTACCAATAGGGCCCAGCACGAAGGACGGAGTATGGCTTCAACTGCTGCGCGGAGTCTCCTCCTAGTGGGGAGAAGTAACGTAGTTTCTGTGGAACCTGGCAAGGAGGATATCAGAGACAGTTCCTGAAGTTCCTGGGTTGCAGGTCAGACGAGACCCGCAGGCCTTTTTCTTCTATTGCCTCATAGAGCGGGAGCATCCGCCGCTCAAATATCTTGAAATTCCAAAGACAGTGGAGCGGCTGTCAAGGCTAAAGTGAGGGTCCGCAGCAGAAAAGTCCTGCAGGAGGACCACGCCATGTGTGACCACTACACCACTCTGTTGGTCGAATGTACCTCCGGACGAGGGAAGGGGTGAACTTGTACATGGAAAATAGTCTGGGTCACAATAGAAAACGCAATCATGACTCTTACTCATGAAAAGCAGGAGGGTATCGGAAAGTTGTTTGGGAAAGAGGGCCCGACACGTACTTTCTCGCAGAGGCTACAAGAGTGACGAACCCCCACGCAAGACAAGAAAGTAGGAACAGAAATAGACTTACTCAGCCGGGCAGTAAACAAGTAAGCCAGTGAGTGATGTGACGGGCCAGTCGAATGTAACTGGGCTGGCGTGTCGCGGAATTGCCCCTTTGGGTTGGGTGAAGCTGGGGGTTGAAGGAGACGGAACAGCCGCGGACTGGAACCCTCGACGGGCGTACGCCGGGCTTCACCTGCTGCTGAGATGGCGTTGGTGAGCCAGGTGACTGAAGGTGAGTAGTTGTATGGGTGCAGGTAAGCTACAAGTCCCCAGGAGGTAGGGTAGCTTTAGACGAGCCGCCTGCAGACGTTCTGTGTGAACGGGAAGGGGGTGGGCGCTATGCAGATCTTGCAGTAGATTTGACAGCGTTTTGGTTCCAGAGACCTGTCTGATAGTGAAGTCCCAAGTCGATCAGTCTTGATTGGGTTGACAATCACAGCTTGTGCGGTCTAAATTGAACATCAAAACTTGAAGGTGACGGTGAGTTGATGATGTACCTCGAAACAGCCCAACCGGTCGATCACGAGCCGTGGTTGAATATCCCAAAGAGCTTGTTCTCTCAGGCAGGACCGTAGGACAGATGAGTTGGAAGGGTGTGCTCACAATGATTTGCTCTTCTTTGGAACGTGGTGTGGTCGAGGTATTCCAACATCGGCAGGTGTATCTGCTGTGTGTAGGTACGGAAAGCCCGAGTCAGAGTGGAAGAGGGCACGGGACACCGACCTGGTGCGTTGTGCCCAAGAGTGGGCGCGTTCCCGAGGTCCACGAGGCACGAGGCACGTTGACAGGTACTGCGATCCCAATGCGAAGCAGCGACAGCTCCGGGTTACTCAATTCTTTCCCGCCGAACACACCCATTCCCAGTATCGTGCCTTACTTGAGGCTCTTTCTTCGTCCCTTGGGATCATCAAGTCCGGTAGGGGCCGTCCAATCACGCCCGGCCATCGAGGAACGTGCGCCCAGCGCTCCAGGCTGTTTCCGGACTACCCCCGTAACCCTGGACCGCCAAAGTGGGGAGTCGAGTCTGAGTTGCTCCGTCAAGACCTAGTCCGCTCTGCCCCGTACCAGACGACCACCTCGAGCCACTCGCCATCCCGAATTGCGATGCGCTTGACGCGCTCGTCAAACCGGGAATTTTCATGGTTAAATAGGGCTTCTGAGCATGTCATCATGATGACCTCGGAAACGACCATCTTTGGCACGTCTCACACCTGTCACCCGAATGCGCCTTGCCAGAGACTTCAAAAATCCAAGAATGGCAAGGCGTAGCCTCCACTGGGGTAATATTGCATTGGGAAACCTCCTGCTGGATGACCTCCTGTTTGATAATATCCCGTTGGATAACAACCAGTGGTATAAACTCCTGTTTCCTGCAAGATATCATCCTCCCTCCTGTGTGATAATCTCCTACCTCTCTGGGATAGTCTATCGAGATGAGAAGATGGGATTCATGTTCTCGCGAACGGAACTCTCATCCATGCTTACAGCCTCAATTCCGGAAAATTAACCTTGCGCAGGATGGCGGCATGTTTGTGCCTCCTGCACTGCAACGTCATTTGGAGAAATTCTCTTGGGGGAATCAAGGCTTATGTTTCTAGGGATATCCGAATAATAAGAGACATGACGTCTTGGTGCTTCACGTCCACCCAGTATGCGCAACCTCAACGGCGCTCAAACCAAGGAAAGCGCTCTTCTGTGCGCCGCGAGACTTATCCTGACGACGTTTCAAAACCCATGGTCCAGTGCCAGCGACGGGCTGCTCAGGGATTTGGTAGGCCCGTGAGCTGATTTACTTTTTCACGTCTTCCTTTTTGGCCTTGTCATCGACCAGACTATCTGCCATCGCCTCTGCGGCAGCTTTCCTAAGCCTTTCCTCCGAGTCCTCCGTATCCTCCAGTTTGATGCCGGCCTTGTCTGGCTTATCCTTAGCGTCTTTGTCATCATCACTGTCGCCAAGACTGAAGGGGTCGTTCTCCGCGATGGGGCTCGGCTCGACCGAGGACAGTGGCTGCCACTTGCTGGATTTGCCGCCAGAAGCTGCAGAGGACGAGTCCTTGGCCGCATTCTTGGGGGAGGTGCTGTAGAGATCGATGTCCTCGACGCCGTCCTTGAAGGACACCTTTCGACCATCATGTGGCTTTGGGGACAATGAGGGTGGTGGCGGCTTGAACAGGTTGGGGTTCCGCGTCTGCTGACGGCCGGCAGGTGCTGAGCTACATGTCAGCATAAGGTATTGGTCCGGTGAGTGATTTCGAATTTATACTTACTGCCGTCACTGTGGAACTTCATCCCGGCAAAGTCGTCGCTGAGCAACTCTGGATCGGCATCATACCGCTCATAGTCCCTGCTCCTCCTCGATGACTCCCCACTGCCCCGCCCCGCGAAGGGACCACGGCCGCCCTGCTGGTGGGACGAAGCTTCGTTCTCATCAAATTGCTCGTCAAACTTCTTCTTGATACCCTGGAACCAGGTGTTCACCTTGGTCTGCGTCTCCTGGAAGCCCTTTTTGAGCTGCTCCTGTATGACTGGGAGGTCATCATCAATGAAGCTGTGATCCCTGTCATCGTGTAGTTCGTTCGGATTCAGGCCGGTCTGCTGGCGCCGGCGAGGCGGGTTTCCCGGGCCTCTGTTGGCGGTCCGGGCTTCGTATGCGGCACTTTGACTCTCGTAGTGTTGCGCCAACTGTCGGGCATAGGCCTCGTCTGCCTCGAGCTGAGACTGGGCATTTTGTGGACGCGGAGGCTGCGGTGGAGGCTGCTCTTCTGCGTCGTGCTGAATAGCATCCGGGTCGCTCATGCCCAGCAGCGCATTAAATGCTGGGTCGACTTGTCCCCGGCTTGCGATCAGCACCGCCTTGATGACAGCGGCGTCGATGCTGGGAAATGCCTCCTTGAGGATGGCCTCATTCTTCTGCTGCTCGGTCACTGGTCGAGGGGGCTTCGGGGGAGGCACCTCCTGAGAAGCAGTTGTCGATGGGTTCGTGGGGGCCGAGGTGCCAGTTGAGGCCTCCGCGGATGCGCCTGTGGCCGCCCCTGGCGCGGGGTTCGGTTTGGTGGTGCCGTCGTCCATGTTGATGATGCCTGATTCTTGAACGTCTTCGTCGTCGGAATAGTCCAGTGGCTTGACTGTGGTGGGTGATTCTGGTACCTTGTCCTGGAGTTGGAAAAGTTGTCAGTCAAGATGGCTTTGATTAGGAGTGGGTAGGCGCATGAACCGAGCTTCGTCTGGTGTTTGAGTCCCGGCTTCTGCTCATGCTTCGGAGATGAGCCAGGGGACGATGCTTACCGACATCTTGAACCGAGATGGCGCAATGAAATGAAACGGATGCTATGGCGGCAAATTGGTCAGTTAGTTGCTAGGTGAGGGTGATCTGGAAACGTAGTTTGAGAGGATGTTTGCGAATCCATGAAGGGTGCGTACATAACCATTGGGAGGAGCTGCCTGGCTGCGTCAGACCTACGACCGCTTTGGGGGGTAAACGGGCTAGTCGGTACCTAAGGTACCTGGGTACCTGCCATCGTGGCAGGGTAGTGATCAAATGCATCGAAGTGGGGCACGTGCTTCTATGTACGAACACACAGACACCTCCCTAGGTGGGTACGTTGGCAGATAGGCACCGTAATGAATGCTAAAGGGCGAACTTGCATACACCACTACTTATGCAATAAAGCTCCATGCAATTATCTCAAAGGGTTTGGAATTTTGCCTTCGGTTTCAAGACGCCGGTTCTGGAAAAATGAGGTCATGTTTGTTGGGCCAGACTCTCACTTGTCTGATGAACCTGGCCAGGGTCAAGTGTTCGGCCTGATTGAAGAAAGTTGCGCGAACCTTCAGAGAGCAGACAGCCGAAGCCAGGATCGTGGATCTTGGCTCATTTTCAATTTCTGGTCCAGTTGGAAACTGCATACTTAGGTAAGGTCAGGATATGCAAGAATTAGCCCCGAAATAATCGGATCTCAAGCCAACTGCTGAATAGCGTACCAGAGCAACACCGGTGACTTGAGACTTAGATAATTTGGACGGACACTTTGTGTTGGTAGGTCTCTCGTACGTATGATAATCATATGGAGAAGCAATCGTTTATTAGTATTATTCTAGTTAAGTTTTAAAAGGTTATGTGCCTTATAAGGAATAATTAAAGTAGCTATTTAAAGGTAAGGGTTATATTTATTAATACTTATAATTTTCTTTTTTTAATAAATACATATAATATTTATTATTATAAAATATTATTAAAGCAGCTTAAAATTATAAATTATTATAAAATAATTTTAAAGTAAATTTATATAATTTTTAATTATTATTTTTTAAATCTTAAATATTATATTTATTATTTATAATTATTATTTTATTATTATTAATAATATTAAACTTTAAAAGTTATTTTTTATAAAACTTATTAATTTCTTTAAAAGAGTTTTAATTTTAACTTTTTTCTTTATAAAGAAAATTAATGCTTATAAAGTTAATATTAAACTTTTTAACTTATATTTATTTTTATTATATATTTTTATAATATAAATATTATTAAAATTAATTTAATTTTTCTTTTTATTATTAAATTAAATTTAATATTATTTTAACTTATTTTTTTTAATTATTATTTATTTATTTAAAGTTAAGCATTATAAGTTATTATTTTATTTATTAATTCTTTTTTTACTTTTTAATATTTTTTAATTAATTTAATAATTATTTTTTATTTAAACTTTATAAATAATATATATATTTTATAATAAATTTTTATATATATATAGTTTATATATATTTATTAATAATTTAATATAAAAAGTTTTAAATTTAAGTTAATATAATAATTTAACTTTTTATTAACTTAATTTTTTTAATTTAATATATATAAAAGACATTTAAAATTAAAGTTTTTATTAAATTATTTATTATAAAAATTATAATAATTTTATATTTAAAATAATAATTATCTTAATAATTCTTATTATTAAAAATATTATATAATTTTACCTTAAACGTTTTAATATTTTTATTATAAATATATAGCTTTTTAATTATATTATTAAAAAATATTTATTTTTATTTTAATATTAAAAATTATTAACAATTTAAATAATAATAATTATTATTTTATTATTAAGAAAAAATATTTTAACTTAAGCTATAATTATAACTTTTAACTTATTAATTTTAATAATTCCTTAAAAATTAAGCTTAATAAGCATTTTATTTTTTTAATGCTTTTTATAATAATATAATTTATTATATTATAATTAATATTATATTATAGCTAATTTTTATAATATTTATTAACTTTTATTAACTATAATATTTATTTAATATAAAGAAATTAATAAAAGTTAATATTAATTAATATTAATTACTTTAAACTTTTTATTTTTAATTAATTTTATTAATTTAAATTAATTAACTTTTAATAAGAAATATGCATTTAATATTAATTAATGCAAATTATATTATTAAAAACATAATTTATTATAAATTAATAAAATAAATATATTTATATTAATTAATATTAATTAAGTTAAATTTATTATAATATAATTAAAATTTAATTTATTAAACTTTTCTCTATCTTTTTTATAAATTTTTATATTATATTTAGTTTTATTATAATTATTATATTATTATTTTATTAATTTACTATAAATTACTTCCTTAGCATTATTACTTATTTTATTAATTAATTATTTTGCCTTTTATTTCTCTTAAATAAAAGCTTAAAATTCCTTAATTATAAATGCTTTTTAAGCTATACTTAAGTATTTTTAACCCTTTAATATTTAATAAGTGCTATATTAATATCCTTAAAAATATAAACTTAATTTTTTTAAAAAATAATCTTATTTATTATTATTTATATATTCTTTATTATTTAATTAACAGCCTTTATAATTAATATAAGGGAGCTTTCTTAATAAGTAAAAATCTTGCTCTTAATAAAACTTAATTATTAAATAATTTATTAAGTATTAAATAATATTTAAAACTTTTATTTTTAAGGAGAAATAAGGAAAAATTATATTAAAACTTATAAGCGAATATTAAGCTTAAAAATTATAAAGCTAAGGTTTTAAAAAGAAATTTTAGCTCTTTTAAATATAAACTTAATATTTTTTACTATAAAGGTTTTATTATAAGCTGCCTTAAATATAAGAAAGAATTTAAACTTAATAATATAATTAATTAAAGCTTAAATAAAGAAATTAATTTTATTGCTATATATATGCTTTAAAGAAAAATATAATGTAATATTATAATTTAAGCTTTGCTTATTATAATTAATTAATAAGCTTTAATTTTATAAAAATAAACTTTAATATAAATATAAATAAAAAATAAACTTCTTTTTTTATATTTTAAATATTAACCTTATTTAAGAATTTATAACTTTAAAAGCATAAAGCTAGCTTATAATATCTTTATAATATTAATATTAATTATTTAATATAAATATTATAATTTAATTAAAATAGTTTTTATTATTAATAATTATTATTTAATTAATAATAATATAAATTTATAACTTATTTATTTTATTATTAATAATTATTTATAAATATTTATTAATTAATATTAATTAAATTAATATATATTTATTAATAATAAATTAATTAAATTTAAATTAATTATATAAAATAAAGGTTATAATTATAAATTATAAAATATTTCTTTAATTATAAATTATTTAAAAATAATTATATATTATAATATATAATTCTTATTTATTAATACTTTAATATTAATTATTTATAATATTTATTATACTTAATATTATTATTTCCTTATAACATGCTTATAATTATATAAATAATTAAATATTTTATTAATACTTTTTATATAAAAATTATAAATTATAATTTTAAGTTAATATATTTATAATATATTAAGTTAATTAAAGTTTAAATAAGCACTTTATTAATTATATATTTTTTTTAATTAAAGTTAATAGCTTTTTAATATTATTAATTATATTTATAAGTTTTTATAATAAAAGTAATAAAAAATAAAATTAAAGAAATAAAGAAATAATAATAAAGTAAATTAATAATAATAATTTAAAAATTTTAATTATAAAAAAATTATTAATTTCCTTAAGCTTTAAAAGTTAAAAGTTTCCTTTTATTATTAAATTTATTTATATTAATTAAATATATTTATAACTTATATTTACTTATAATATAGCATTATATTAATTTTAATAATTTTAATAATTATAAGCTTTATTTATTAATAAAATAAAATTTTATTAAGTTTTATTAAATTTTAAAAAAAAGTTAAAAATAAATTTATTTTTAATAAAGTTTATATATAATAAATATATATTTTTTAAATAATAATAAATATATATATAAATATTATAAAGAATATTAATTTATTTATTTAATTTTTATAATATTTATTTAAGAATTTAATAATATAAAAAAGCTTAATAAAGTAATTATTATTATATAATACTTATTAATAAAAAGAATTTATTTTTAAATTAAGAAAATTATTATAAAATTATTTTTTTTACCTTTTAATTTATAATACTTATAATTATTAATTATATAAGGAAGTAATTATTTATTAATATTATTTTAATTAAGTTTTAAAAGGTTATGTGCCTTATAAGGAATAATTAAAGTAGCCATTTAGGGGCGAGGGTTGTACTTGCCAACACTTTGTCTTGTATAGTATGCTTTGTGCCTTGTTTGCAGACGAGGCATGGCTAAGTGCAGTAATAAACATATTGCGGTTAACTCTTGCTCTATGTAAACAGCCAGACATAATTACAAGCACGCCGGCAAGGTGGTATTTCAAGCCACTAGTGCCAGTAACAAAGAGCGAGATAATTATAGCTCTGGCTTTGTGTATAGTAAAATTTGATTCTGGGTGAGAAGGATACACAAAATATTTTCCATCGAGTTGACACGATCACTATTGACAACCAACGAAGAGACTCCGTTTATATGATACAAATGAAGTGATGCCCGTTAGGAATCAATGTATGCGCCCAAGACTGCCCCAATTCCCTCACAAATAGTAGCCAAGTTGTCCCCATTGCTCAAACAGAGCTGAGTCTGCTTTAAGAATGGTAATAGCGCAGGGAATGAGCAATGATGTTGCGCATCGTCGAATCCAAGGTGTCCATTCCTGGTGATAGGGCGGATCTAGTTGCACTGATCGAGAAAGGAATTGTTAATAATCTCTTCCTAGCAAGAAACGGTAGACAGCCGATTTACTTACAGACCAGAAAGGAGGAGACTCCTTCCAGTAGTAGCTCTCGCAGTTGCCCCAGGTCTCGCTTCCAATGCATCCCCAACCGCCAGTAGAGCCGTCAGAGCCATCGTTGTAGTAGGCTCTGGCGCAGCCCTCAGGGGTGGAAGCACGCTTCTCGGGGATGGAAGCGGCGGAGGCAAGGCCAGCGAGGGCCAGAGAGACGATAGCGAGGAACTGCATCTTGAAAGAGTGTTGGTTGTTGGTGTTTGTATGAAATGATCGTGTGTGTGAAGTGTTGGAGTTGTTGGAGTGTGATGATGATGATGAAAAAATTCCAACTTCAACAGCACTCATCCCGCTGCTTATATACTTTTTCATCGCCATCGCTCTTGAGTACTGGTCTTGGTGACGGCCCTGAATATAGTCGAACAGTCGGGAGACACGGTGAGTCCGACTCTTGCTGGTGATGCTGACGACAGCTGGGCACACGGTGCTTGACTCGAAGATCTTACTCAGTTCTGGTGTTGTGGTGTGTCCGAGTTGTGTGTTGCATAGTCGATGCCAAGCATTCGAGTCAAGTTGTATTGTGATCACCGCTGTCTTCGCCATCTCTGTATACCAAGAAGAACTGTAAAGTGAACCTTAAATCTAGCCCTATGTTCGATGGAATTCCAGACAATGGGGATGATTCCAAAAAAAGAAAATGGACCCATAACCTAGCTTGAGCACTTACCCGTTAGTGATTCTAGTTGTAGTGAGTTGTTTTGTAGCAAAATTCATCTGTGTTACACAGGTACTCGTAATTTTCGGGTTGCCGTTTCAGTGTAGCAAAACTGCGAGACTGAGCATTCCAGCCCTCTCCATCAACAATGAGCTGACGACAGGCTTGTGGCCAAGCCGTCGTGAGGTACTTGCTGCCGGCACCGCCGGGTACCGGTAGGACTCAGCCCAACCCCACAGCCCGGCGGCGGAGCAGTCGATCAGTCGGCCGTCGGACACCGCCTCCCAGCTGGCGGAATACTCGGCATGCATATACCCACATCATATGCGCGAGGCTTCCTCCCCACCTTTAATCTGGGGAAATTCAGTCCGTGTTTTGTGTATGACAGGTGGTGGATCTCTTCCAGCTCCTCGGTGCTGAAGCACGACTCTTGCCAGGTCGAGATCATGCCAGGACTTGCACATCGCCGCTGCTTCTAAAGCTAAATCCCCAGCAGATCCACACTTCCTCACTGTGGGAGTGGCCTCACTTCATGCGAGATGGTCTAGATATGACTCAAATGATTCACCAGATGCTGGAGGACGACGCGAGTCTTCAGGCGTAAGAACGCGCACAATCACATGGATTACCCACCTGTTGCTGGGCAGTGGTGTCCTTTTTACGTTTCCATCAGCTTGCCGAGACCGCGATGTCCGGGTCGATCGCCGATGGTACCAAGAAAGCCTCGTGAGGACTCCTGAGGGAATGAGGGTGTTTCTGCTGCTTCTAAATCCGGGTCTGCGACGGACTGTTTCCTTTCTCCGTTCTCAGTTGCTTCTGTGCCGGCATTCTTTTTTTTAACAAGATTTAATTCTAAGAAAAGAAAAGAAAGGGGGAGGGGCGGAGAAAGACAGATGGAGGGAGGAAGAGAGGCGGAGAGGTGAGTACCTCGGGTTCTAAGCTGTCTTCCTTAATTCAATGTGGCCACCCAAACAACTACTTCGTAAGTGTTCTCTACCAGTGGATTGGATGCGGCGCCATTGGTTGCTTGGGTATTTTTCAAATATCCTGTGTGAAGTCCGGAACCGGAGGCGTGGATTATATGAAGATACAATTATCATGTTTTAAATGAAGCACACCAGACAGTGGCGGGCGAGTGGACAGCTCATCACGCCTCTGTCCCTGTGCGTTAGACGCCTTCATCCAAACCGGCCTGGGGAATAGACTGTTGAACTCAACGAATGCCAGCTGTGAGGCGTCCCACGTCACAGTTTGCGGAAATGTAAGGCGATAAAATTGATGTCTAACACATCATCTAATACGTTTCCTCTGGCGATACACCTGATGTTGGCTGGAGATCTGATGCAATTGCCTTAAGCCGAAGTAATGAGTAGGCCGATTATTAAAACCTCCCTCCTGTTTCAGGAATCAGGTTCACGCTCTTCCTCAAAGTTTACGACCACCAGTGTTGGCAAGCACAACCCTCGCCTCTGCCCAGCTACTTTAGTTATCCCCTATGGGGCACGTAGCCTCTTAAAACTTAAATAAAATAATATTAATAAATAATTGCTTTCTTATATAATTATTATATATATAAGAAATTTATTAATATTAATTAATAATTATAAGTATTATAAATTAATAAAATAAAAAAGATAATTTTATAAGGATTTTTTTAACTTAAAAATTATATCTTCTTTATTAATAAGCATTATATAATAATAATTACTTCCTTAAGGCTTTTTATATTATTAAACCTTTTAAATAAATATTATAAAAATTAAGTAAATTAAATAATATTTTTTATAATATTTATATATATATTTATTATTATTTAAGAAATATATATTTATTATATATAAAACTTTATTAAAAATAAATTTATTTTTAACTTTTTTTAAAATTTAATAAAACTTAATAAAACTTTATTTAATTAATAAATAAAGCTTATAATTATTATAATTATTAAAGTTAATATAATGTTATATTATAAGTAAATATAAGTCATAAATACATTTAATTAATATAAATAAATTTAATAATAAAAAGAAACTTTTAACTTTTAAAGCTTAAGGAAATTAATAATTTTTTTTATAATTATAATTTTTAAATAATTATTATTAACTTACTTTATTAAATATTATTTACTTTAATATTACCTTTTTATTTTATTAATTTATTTCTTATAATATTTATTATAAAAACTTATAAATATAATTAATAAAATGCTTATTTAAACTTTAATTAATTTAACTTATTATAAATATATTAACTTAAAATTATAATTTATAACCTTTATATAAAGAATATTAATAAAATATTTAATTATTTATTTAATAAATATTTTAATAAGTTATATATAATAAAATCTTTATAATAATAACTTTTTTATTTATTATAAGCTCGGCGTTAAAAAAGCTGCAAGCTAGCTAGCACCTTCTCTTATAAGTTATAAAGCAGCAACCTTTTAACTAAGCCAAAAGGTACATAATAATCCAAACTCCCTTAAATTATTTAGCCATATTATATAAGGCTTAAGTAATAACCCAAGCCCATTATATAGCCCCTTCCCCCAAGACCCCCTTAATATAATAATATAATTACCCCCAAGGCTTACCTGCAATATTGCCTTTTCAAGCCAGAGATCTTCTTTATGATTAGGTAAGACCATAACTCAAACTCTTAACCCTAAAGCTTGGATTATTTATTATGGGCTTGGCCCTAAAGGGGCTGTGAAAGGGTATATGTAATTACTGCTTGCAAATTACACCTCCCGGCCAAAAAACCATAATAACCAATCTGGGATTGGTTATTCTAAGCAGTATATAAAGCCGTACCGTCATAACCCCCCCTAAGGCCCTTTTATAAAGCTTTAAGACTGCCATTAGGGACTAAGCTATGGTTTAAAGCCAATACACGCTTTATAAGAGGCCTGAAAACTTATATAAAATGGCATTTAGTTTCTAGTTTAATTAAGTTATTATATAAACGGCCCTTTATAATACTGCAACCAGTTTAATTCCCACCCATCTTTACATGCAGTTTTTCAACTAAGGGGCTTAAACCCTAGCCGTTAAATTGGTTATTAAAAGGGTATATATAATTACTGCTTGCAAATTACACCTCCCAGCCAAAAGACCATAATAACCAATCTGGGATTGGTTATTCCAAGCAGTATATAAAGCCGTACCGTCACAGGCTGCAGGCTGGCTAGCGCCTTTTCCCATAAGCTGCAAAGCAGCAACCTTTTAACTAAGCCAAAAGGTACGTAATAATTCAAGCTCCCTTGAATTATCTAGCCACACTATATAAGGCTTGGGCAATAGCCCAAGCCCATTACATATGTTATGGGTTGGCCTTAAGCGTTTGCTAGAAGGTACTTAAAAAGAGTTATAAATTGCAATATTTAAGAAGTAAGTTAGGCTTTAAAAGGGCCTAACTTTAAATCTATCTTTTAAGTATATGCCCCATTATATAAAAAGGTTAAGTATAATATAAGCTTAGCATAAGTATGTATTACGGCTTAAGCAATAGCTTAAGCTTATTATATAGCCCCCTTTCCATTCTTATATTGCATATAACAAGGATTAAACCTAAGGCTCTTATAATCTTATATTAATTATATATTTACCCTTACTATACATTTATCTTAAGGCTATATTTATTCGCCTTAAAAGCAATAATTATTTATTTTATTTTTATATTAATTATATTTATATATTATATTTAATATAATATAATATAAAGTATATATTATATATATTATAAGCTATTATAATATAATAACGTTATTGCTATATATATAGTTTTTTATTAATATATTATAATTGCGCATAAGTTATATATATTGCCAGCCTTAAGCTATAACATGCCTTTATTAATATATTAATATTGCTTATTATAGCTATTACCCTTGCATTATATTTATTATTACTACTTAAGATAACTTCCTTATAATTACACTCTTTTTTATAATTCTTTCTTTTTAATATTATATTATTATTATAATATAACGTAATTTACCACTAAGTAGCGAATATTACTAAGTAACGGATTTTTCCAACTTTACTTAACTTTTATTAACTATAATATTATATTAAGGTAAATAAATTAATAAAAAGTTAGCATTAATTAATGCTAATTATATTTAATTCCTTATTTTTAATTAATTTTATTAATTTAAAGGGGCTGAAGATAATGCAATATAATTAGAAATTATTAAGGTTTTAATAAGATAAGCTGTTTTTAATATTAATTATATCCTTAATTTTCGCATTAATCCTGCATTAATTTACTTATTTAAATATTTAATGCATAAGAAATTAATAATAAAGATATATATCCTTTATTTAAAAAAAATAAAAATATTCTTAGCTATTTAAGCTATTTAATACTTTAAAAAAAATTATGTTAAACCCTTATTTATAGCTTAAGTTATTAAAATCTTTAATATCCTTAAAATAACTTTATGCCGCAAAATAAATTAATAATATAATTTTAAAGAATTACATATTAAATAATATAAACTTAACTTAATTAA